ATATATCTCCTAACCAGTAAGCATAGGCTAACAGAGCAAAAAATAAAACCTCTCTCACTAGACTCATGGAAAGGTCCATCATACTTTTTTCATGCAGGCTGTGTCAGTCACAAGGGGGTGTGTGGCTAGGGCTGCATAAATGGAAACAAAAGTGATTTAACTCCTAAATGTCAGAGAATTGCACAGTGAGACTTCAGAGGCATGATCTATACACAAACACGGCTTCATTAGGCTAAAGTTGTTTAGGTGACTATAGTATCCTTCTCACACTGCCTCCATGAAAAAAAAAAATGTTTAATTTAAATTAAACCGTAAACTTACCAAGTTTATCTCCTGCACTGTAAATTGAATTTAAAGGTACACTATAGTCACCAGAACAGCTACAGCTTAATGTTGCGGTTCTGGTGTCTATAGCCTCTCCCTGCAGTCTTTTTAATGTAAACACTGCCTTTTCAGAGAAAAAGCAGTGTTTACATTACTGCATTGGGAAGGGATAGGCAACCTTCGGCACTCTAAATGTTGTGGACTACATCCCCCATAATCAGGGCCAGATTAAGAGCCCAGTGGGCCTTGTGCTGACAATTATGACGGGCCTAATTACAGAATCATATCGACCAAAAACAGTAAAACACTCCCAAGCGTCATGTATCTGATGGAGATGGTGCTGGAGAGAAAGAAAACAGCAGCTATAAGAAAACACATACCCTAGGCTAATCTCTCACTAATTTATGTTTTCCTCTTTCAAGTAAATCCATCACCCCTATCAGCAGTGTCCAGTCAAGCAGGAAGTCAATGGGCACGGTAAAAGGGTGTGCCACTGACACATATCACGTAACCTGCCAAAAGGGGCGAACATGCCCAAAAAGAGGATATGTCTGCCCATAGAATTAGGCCAGCCTGGTATGAATGCATGTCAGGCTGCCTGCCAATCATGCAGCTGGCCAACTAAGGGCATACTATGCAGACAGCACCCTGAGCTTGGCATAAATGCATCTAATGATGCGCTCGCTCAACGCTTTCTAAGGACTGTCCCCTAGCACTCGCTGGTCCACTTGTCTCCTTACCTTCTTACTAGCAGGCAGAAGCTCCTGGTATATAGTCTGGGACAGAGAAAAGCTGTATCTAGTGAGTGTAGAAGAAAGGGAACATGCCACAGTGTTAGAGAGACCAAAGTCAGCATTACCTTAAAGGATCACTATAGGATCAGGAACACAAACATGAATTCATGATCCTATAGTGTTAACACCAGCATCTAGCCCCCGTGGGCCCCTCATGCCTCCATAAATATAGCAAAATCTTACTGTATTCAAGCCTGAAGCTGTAACTCTGCATGCTGTTAGACTCAGAAAAACAAGCAGTCCGCTGACATCATTAGAAGTGGTGGCCTAATCCAATCACAGTGCTTCCCCATATGATTGGCTGAGACTGACAGAGGCAGATCAGGGGCAGAGCCAGCATGATTCAAACACAGCGCTGGCCAATCAGCATCTCCTCATAGAGATGAATTGAATCAAGGAATCTCTATGAGGAAAGTTCAGTGTCTGCATGCAGAGGAAGGAGACACTGAATGTTTGGATAAATTTTAGGCAGCCATGACCCAGGAAGGATCACTAACAGCCATCTAAGGAGTGGCCAGTGAAGTTATCACTAGGCTGTAATGTAAAGACTGCATTTTCTCTGAAAAGACAGTGTTTACAGCAAAAAGTCTGACAGTAAAGATTCTACTCACCAGAACAAATTCAATAAGCTGTAGTTGTTCTGGTGACTCTAGTGTCCCTTTAACTATATTCATGGTCAGCCAGTCCACACAAGTTTTGTTCCCATACATCCCTCTTAAGTTTCCATACTTAAGTAAGAGTATGTGAAAAGTAATTAGGGTTGCCACCTTTCTTGGAAAAACATACCTGCCTTGCTAATTTGCATAATTAAATATGTATGGGTGACATCACATGATGTAAATCACAAGGAGTGACATAAGAGAAAATGCTCTAAAATCACCAAAAAACTACTTAGTTTGAGTCTGCTGTATAGATGGATTCCTTCCAGTGGCCCCATGTCTCCCAGTGCCCCCATGTGTCGATTACTCCAGGTCTCAGTGCCCCATGTCTCCCAGTGATCCTATGTATCACAGTGTCTCAATGCCCCATGTCTCCCTGTTTCCCCATGTCGCTAGGAAGACGAGAAGACCTGGGGTCACGGGGAGACCTAGGGACACGGAGACACCAGTCACACTGAGAGACTAAGGGACTCTGGCTGGGACGCATGGGGACACTGGGAAAATAGGGGACACTGGCTGGGGGACATGAGGACAAGGAGACACCAGGGACACTAGCTTGGAGACATGGGGACATTGAAACACTTGAGGCACTGGGAGACATGGAGACAGTGAGACACTGGTAGACTGGTGTCACTGGGAGACTAGGGGGCACTGTGTCCCCATGTGTCTGTGTCATAATGTCTCCCAATGTACCTTAGTGTCTCAGTGTCCCCATGTCTCCTTGCAGCCTTTCCCCCCATCCCTTACTTCCCTGAGCTGTAGGCGGTCTCTGCAGGGTGGGAGTTGCTGTCTGGACTCTCTGTAACTGCACACCTGCAGATCAGTGAGTATAGATAGGCAGGGAGGGATATGCTGGAACTTCCTATCCCTGCCTCGCTCCACACACAGTGACCCCTACTGGCCAGTGCTGCATAGTAATCTCTTGTTTATACTGAGAAAAATACCAGCAGTTGTATTGCCAGTATCACTGTAATATTGGCACCAGCCAGGCAGCCTCGAATACTGGCTGTGCCAATAAAATAAAAGCCAGGTGGAATCCCTAAGAGTAGTGTGTGAAAAAAAAAAAAAAGTGACTTTTTTTTTTTTATAAATCAATGGGCCTATTCCATGGGCATGGGCCTGGAGCTGCAGCTCCATTAGCCCCTATGTTAATCCGGCCCTGCCCATAATGCTCTTGCACCCATAAGCATCATAGAAGGTGTAGTCCAAAACATCTGCATCGCCGAAGGTTGCCTGTGCCTAGCCTAGCAACACCTCCAGTGGCAGTTTCTCAGATGGCTACTAGAGGAGCTTCCTGGGTCAGTACTGCACAACAGCTTCTTCTCATCCTCCGTAATCTTGGTCTGAGACATTGCTCTCTGCTGGTGCTCATCTTACTTCTCCCAGCATTCTTTCAGTGTTTCTCTCTTTGCCTCTTCTAGCCAACCCCCTTCTGTTGGTTTTCATGAAGGCTCGATCATTGGCCCTGTACTGTTCTCGAGCTATACTGCCTCCTTTGGTGAATTCATCAGAGCTTTTGGCTTCCAGTATCATTTCTATGTGGATGACACGCAAATCTGTCCTCTCCTGATTTCTCGCCATCCCTCTTGAATCATGTCTCTGACTACCTCTCTGCTAACTGGATGGCTGCACACTTCCTTAAACTTAAAGGAACACTATAGTGCCAGGAAAACATACTGGGCTCTGCAGAGAGGAAGGGGAGCTTTCCTCCACCTCTCCTTCTTCCTAGCGACGTCATCAGCTGAATGCGCACGCACGGCAGGAGTCGCGCGCACATTCAGCCAGTCTCATAGGAAAACATTCATAATGCTTTCCTATGGACGCTGGCGTCTTCTCATTGTGATTGTCAATGAGACAGCCACTAGAGGCTTTAGAGGCTGGATTAACCCTCAGTATAAACATAGTTTCTCTGAAAATGCTATGTTTATAAAAAAAAAAAAAAGAAAAAAAAAAGGTTAATCCTATCTGGATCTGGCACCCAGACCAATTCATTAAGCTTAACACCATAAATTGTTTCTGGACTACATTTCCAATGATGCTCAGCTAACTTTTAGAGTCTAAAAGAGTCTCCTTCACCCATCACGTCCTGTTGATCACTAAATCCAGCCACTTACATTTCAAATAGGGGCAGATGAGCTCTATGTTTTTAACGCCGGACGTGGTGTTGGTCCATGCGGTTATTCTCATCTTCTCAGTAATCTTATGTGTTCCAAACATCCCCGTTACAGTCTATAATGAACACGACTGCGAAGCTCATTTTCCTGTCTGCCCGCACCTTCCCCTTTGGTAGTCCCTACATTTGCTTACCGTAAGATATAGAGCTCAATTTAAAATTCTGGTAAGCTCTTGCAAATCTCTACATAACAGTGCTCCTACCCAACAATACTCCCTTGTACACAACAATGTCTCATCGAGGCCCCCTACTCTCTCCCAAAGACCTATGCCTATCATCCTCTATTTGCACTCCCACTTGTGATGCTCACCTTCAATGTTCCATTCCTTAAAGAGAAAAAAAAAAAAAAATGCACTTCTTCAGAGTTGCAGATCAGTTACAATTAATTTAGCTCCACCATTCAGTCAAGCAAAATCAACTTGCTTTTAAACACGTCAATTCCTGACGAGACCCATTGTAACAAGAAAATCAATTTTACTTGCCTCAGTCAGTAGTTTTAATGTTGTGGCTGAACAGTGTATGTCTCACATGAATAATAATTTTACTTTGTGTGCTCTCTGTGACATATTGGAGAGGCAAGGAGTATTCCACATTGTAACATTGCATTAATAACCAACCTGATGTACAGCTACATATGTAAAGAGTAGACTTATTTATGGAGCAGAAAATCCTTAACAGTTGTGGGCAAATTAGTTTAACAAAGGTTTATGAATACATTCCCCTATCAAGATTAATATGATAGAACTCATTACCAACCTGAAAAAGACAGGGGGTATAAAATAAACCATTAAACATGGTCTTTTTGCTGTAAAATTTCTGTATTCAGCAACACCGCTCAAACATCTACAATACAACTCGAAACTGGGAAGCTGGAGTATTTTGATATATTTACACTGCATATATCACAATATAATGCTATATGCCCTATTCCCTAGCCATTGTGTATTTATTTACAATTGTATTCAAGTTATTTCAGCTACAATGCATATAATTAGTACTAAATTTATAGAACATTTAAAAAAATTATAACAAAACCAAGGGCAAAAAACAAAATTTCAACAAAATTACTTTATTGGTCCAGCAACAGCAAGACAAACAAATTTCTGAAAGGCATATACTGTATTATTATCTGGCATAAAATTGCATCTAAGGCATTTCTCAGATGGACACACAGGAAAATACATAAACAAAGTTACAAAATATTAAAAAAAAATTCAAGCTAAGCTGAATACATTAAATAAATATCACATCTAACATTAAAAAAGTGTAACTATTAAAAAAGTAAATATATTATAAAATTAAACAAAACAAAAGAAAAAAAATGCCACACAAACAACTTGTCTTGTGGTCTTAACTATCAGTTCTTTTACTGCTACAGAGAGACAAAAAAAATAAAATAAACGCAAACACCCTTTCTTATGTGACCACCAAACAAGCAAGGAATAAATCCAACAGCTCCTAAAAGAATGATGTACACATTAAACACCTCCTACGTAAGGTGTATCACAAGATTCTTTTTTTTATTTTTTTTTTTAAATATACATAAAGTGATGAGAATGATTTTCTTTATGTGCAAAAAAGGACCCCAGGCTTCTTGTTTTAGGATCCATCTGTGGAGCGAATTTAAGTGTAGTAACAAAAACCAAGGTCTTTAATTCCAAAATAAATGTAAATGCTTTGAGCATGACATTTAGTGAACACACAGGTGGTATACAAATATGAGATGATCCTTTGTAAGATATCAAAATAAAAATAGACATTTAGCAGTGCTTGCATACGTAGAGAGAAGTCTTTTTTAGCCATGGGGTTAACTGCACTTTTGAAAAAAAAAGAAAAAAAATAACCCAAAACATACAAAGTAACCAATTACAATCACAAAAAAAATATAAATAAATACAATTCAAAACCATCTTTCCACTTACACAGAAGAGATTTGTCAAAGTCTGCTATGGTCATAGTATCCAGTGAGTGCCATAGGCATTATGCCTAACTGACACTACAACTCTATGACAATTCCAAAACAGCAAAGTTAGGCTGACAAATCTATAAATATACATCAGCATCTGAATCCCATGCCACTGCTGTGTATTCAGACACTATATGAAGGACTAACCACTACGTCTTAGTCAGTCCATCTCATCTGTGCCAAGACTTCCACATATTATCTGCACTTCATAACCCTGTCCCGACCATTAGCTTAAAGTGCAAACATGCATCTTTGAGATAAAGTTAAACTATAAAAAAAAATACATTGTATTTCTTAAAAAAGTTACTATGCTCCCCAGAGATTAAAGTAGAAAACCTAACGAAGTATACAAAAATGGCCACACACTGCAAAGCACAGCAGTGTAGGAGTGTGAGCAAGGAGACTAAAGAAGGCTCTAGCAGCGGGCACAGCTCCCAAATAGTCAAGTTCCAGGAGTAGAAAGCAGTCAAATACTGTTCTACTAGCAGCTACTGGGAGAATAAGAGTGCTTTTCCATTGAAGCCAATCTTGGTGCCCAAAAACGTTTCAAGAATTTCCTATGATGCCCAGTATGTTCAAACATATGGAGGTCCAAGGTGGGCCAACACTACTCTAAGTCTTCCCTCGCCGAACTGAGAGTTACATCATGGCCTAATAAGCAATGCATGCTCAAGGCTCAATTAGTTTAGACATTACTCCCTAGTACCGAAAAGGGTGAGAGAAAAACAGAACACAATAGATGTGTCTGAACAATGTGCATTTGGTGTGACTGTGCCAGTCTGTATTAAAAACATGTAAAGTTGAAACAGAGGCCACAACCAAACTAGCACCAAGTGATGGAAGAAATAGACAGTACTTTTGTTTTACCAGAACAAAATAAAGTCAAATAAAAAAATTTAAAAAGTCTTGCTCACCTTTGGTACTCAGAGTTTTATATCTTAACCAGCTTTATAATTTAGAACTTGTTGCATAATCCAAACAGCAGTACAGTGATCCTATAGAGATCACATTGGAAGAATAGAAACCAGATCGTGTATTCTTATGTTCCAAATAACTACCATTTGCAAAAAAAAAAAAAAATCCAAAATTGGCAGAAACAACTATTAAAAATGCACTAGACTCCTCCCCTCCCCCCCCCCAAAAGAATTAAACGAAATTAAAAAAAAATTAGTAAGCAAAACTTTTAAAAAACATTTTCAATAAATAAAAAGGCAAAGTCTCTGCTTTGAACACCATAGTTGAAATGATCTGGAAGTGAATCTTTGTTTCAGGTTTTTGTTGTTTTTGAAATTCACAAGAAAAAACATCCATTAGTGGCAAATAGTTTGTCCACTGAGATCCAAATTTGTTCAAAAATAAACAGCCTCGGATTGGAACCATCAGAAAAAAAATAAAAAATAAAATAAGAAAGTTCTCAATGAAGTGTGGAATGTAAAGAACAGCTGACCCATTGTTGGTAATGTCTATCATTTCTCAATGTCATTCATGATCCGATAAAGAATGATACAGGGGCTTCTTCTGCAGCAACATCACTTACGCTCTAGAAAAAGGAAAAATATTTTTTTTAGTATACGTTTTCCATACAACGGTGAACTATTAAGGACATATATATATATATATATATCTCTATCTATTTCAGGTTAACATAAAGACACCACAAAATGGACATGTACAGTAAAATCAGATTCCGGTGATCAGGTAATCAATTATATGACAACCCTATTGCTTGGGGAGGAACCATTGAAAAAAACAAAAAAAAAACAAACAGCTTTGGAACACCAAGTCTATAAAATTTTTGTGTAATTACCAAATTACCAATGAGTACATGCCAACTATCGCATCTAGGTATAGAACAAACTTATAGTCAGTCAGCCTTAGATTTTTACTTCATAAAATGCTCCTTTTTGTTTCTGGAAACAATGTACTTTATAATGGAAGTGGAAATACAAATCACAGACTAAATTAAGCATGCCAATGACAGTCACCATGTCTAAGGAGTGCAAAATGTAACATACTGCAGACTGCACTTAACCAGTGTGATAATAATGCACTGTGTGAGCAAAATGGGATTTAATTCACACAGGAGGAAAGCGTGCCAACATGCACTGAATTACCTTTGGGAAACAAAAAATAAAAGAGCCTTTGCTAAGTAATCTCCTATTGATCGCCTTTAAGGAAGAAAAAAAAAAATATTCCATTTACATACACACACACACACTTTTTAGTTATATTATTGTTAAAAGGCACCAACACTAAAATCCACCCACGCATGTTAAGAGAGATTAGTAACGAGTTAAAACAGCAAATAGAAGTTCAACAGCTTGCAGGGTGTTCCATCATACAGGGCTAAAGCAGAAATGCAAGATAATACTTACAGACAAGCCTTTCCTAGCAAAGGCTGTGAAGGAGGGAATAAAAGAAAAAGGAGCCAGTGTAAGAGGAGAATAGCAGTAGGTAAACAGAGTGGTTCAAGACTTTCTAAACAAAACAACTCTTGCTAGACAAGCTCATGAACGAAGGAAAAAAAAAAAGAAAAAAAAGAAGGGGGACGGGACTACAAAACAAAATAAAAAGAATGCCCTAGCAGACAGTTATGCAGAGTGGCTGAGAAAAACCCATTTATGCCTTTACTTTCCCCACTATAGAAGCAATGGAAAGTTTTCTCCCTCCTTATACAATGCCTTCTGTGGGAATATGCAACTCTCCCAGTCTCTGCATTACTTCAAGAAATACTGAAAGCACATTACTTTAGAGAAGTCTATCAGTTCTCCCCTTAACTGATCATCCCTTATTTCCCTCCTCTGCCAACATCCCACCACCCATCCCTAAGGTGCATACAAATCACATAATTCCCTTTGTATATTTCTCCCTCATCCTGTTAGAGAGATTGTAAGCTATTTTGGGCAGGCCCTCTTCACCTATTGTTCTATAATGTTAATCATGATTTTTTTTTTTTTTTTGAATTTAGTGCCAGTTTTGTTTACCTATTGTGCAGCACTGTGCCATATTTATAAATAAATACAAATAAATATAATGGTATGGTGTTATAATGGGTTTTCAATTTTGTTTAAGAAATGGGTGAACATAGAAATATTTAGCAGAATAATAAAGGCAGTGGGATATAAGCTTTCCCATTGATCCATGCTTTGGCAATGTAGCTGGCAAAACAAAAGTAAGAGGACAGAGAGGCAGATGCACTGTAGCCTCCATCTTAATGTAAGCAAATAAGGGAAAGATGCAGAGGATAATTGTTCATGTCCATGATAGAACAAAAAAAAAAAAAATAATAATAAACACTGAAGGGAGGAAATGCACCAACCTGTCCAGCTTGTACAGTGGGTGGTTCTTGGGATGCACAATATAGTACTGAAGCAGATGCTGAAGCACCCAACTCATCAAAGCTATTGACTCGAGCTTTTTTATTCGGCTCAGGACTAGCAAAAGGGGTAACACTATTGCGTCTCATTAGAGTATTAGGACCCTTCTTGAAATCCTGCAGAAAAGAGAATACACATAATAAAATAGGTGTTTATGCCTAAACTACTGTGAAAACAAGTAGGACTTGAATTCACCAGTGACAATCTCCTACGGTGAGCAAACTAGCACAGCTTGCTTTTAAAAATGCATTTACCACTGAAAAAAAAAAAAAAAAAAACCCCAACACTTAAAAATATATAAAAACACCAAAACAAAAAACACCCAACATGTTTACACGATCCAATACAAACATGACAGCAACTCCTTCCATTTGGAGAAGTGGGGCATGTACAGCAGGTGCATCAACTGATGCCAACCTTTGATTTGAGGGTAAACTGGAGATGCACTCAATGTCACCCAAGTACAGAAAAAGGGTTTACTGCCACAGTGCAAGTGGAACATGTGCATTTAAAACAGTTTACCCAAAACCAGGGATGGTATCTAGTCTGACAGTACTAATTGGAATTTTCTGTGCAAGTTATCTAATGTATTTACAGGCATAATTACATATCAGAATGTTGGGTCTTAATTGAGTTTTTTTTCAAAATACATAGAATCAAAGTAGATTTACCTCCACTGATCTCTCTCGGTGAGTGTTCACAGCTTCCACATTGAAATTGACAGTCTCCACACGACATCCTTAATAAATAAAAATGTAATTCATGAGCATATACACGCACACATACTGAAAAATAAAAGTGGTAACATGACGTCTTGTACTATTCAGCTGATTAACATGGAGAAAATCTTACCATAGGCCAGTGGAGTCAGTTTCAGCAACGAATGCAAGGGGCAGTTTAAATAGGGCATCTCATCTGCAATGACAGCATATCTAATCAGTATAGACATAGTATGTATAATTATAAAAAAAATTAAAAAATAAAACCACCACAACACAAAAGCAAAAAAATAAAAACCATGTATAGAACACCAGTACATTGGTTTATCCACCCAAGATTGCAACACTATGTGCACAGAAAGTAATCTACAAGTTTTAGAGAAGTGTTGCCACTTTTAGAATTTTATATCTATGTTGGCAATCACCACAGAAAGTAACAAGTGGAGGCATAGATATTCAGTTGAGACTGCTGTAAGACTCCCTTACCCTCTATTTTAGTATAGCAAAAGGTTTCAATAATGGTCATCCCCTGAATGGTCCCATTGTATGGCAATATCAGAACTAGATCAGCGTTGTAATAAAGAAAGATTCCATACCTGCAGATTTGTCAAGGAAGTAGGACAAAAGGCATCTCATCACAGCCTGATGACAAACGACAAGGACATTTCCACGTCTCTCCAGCTCCATGATAACCGGTTCCAGGCGCTGAACCAGATCTTGGTATGACTAAATATTAAAAATAAAAGGTTACGGAAGGTGAACAAAAAAAAAAAAATAATAATTTGAATATATTTTATTTTGATGTGAAGTTCCAATTGTGCACCCAAATAAAATTCAGATGTTATTTACCTCTCCTGAAGGGTAGCGGTAATGATATTTGTCCTGAGCACGCAGACCATATTCGTCAGGATAAAGCTCTTTAACATCTTCATAGGTTTTATCCTCACACACTCCCTATAGGGAAGAAAAAATAATAAATAAAGAGATCATGCATTAGACAATTATTCTTGCTGGATATTAAAGAGGTAATTGAACCTAAAACGGACAATGTTCTCCACAAAGTGTGTGAATATTTATTAGTTTTGAATGAACGAAAAAAAAAAAAAAGTTACCTTAATCAGACCATGGTGCTACACAGCGCTCAGAATATACAAAAACACAAAGGATGAGCACCCGCTGGATTTAGTGAAAATCAAATTCAGTTGTTTTTTTTTTTTATTTGCAATGTTTCAAAAGGGGTTTATCTTGATCTAGACCTACTTAGGTCAAAATGTTGATTTAACCTATGCGATTTTAAATACACTGAATTTGATTTTCACTAAATCCTAGCAACGGGATAGGGGTGTATCTGCAACAATATGTACCCAAATACGGAACAAACCAATTTAAAAAAAAAAAAAAAATTAAATAGGTAGTAAAGAAAGACTTACAGCATCCAATTCGTTTAGAGCTTTCCACTGCTCATAAGGCACAGTCAGTCCTTCTGCTGTTTGAATAGACCTCCTTAGTTGACTCGTCCACACTTTCAATTCTTTTAGGTTCTGTTCCTCAATGTATTTCTTGAGTGCAACAGCAAACTAAGAGAAAATTAATTTGTTATGATCCACGTTACAATTTAAAAAAAAAAAAAAAAATTAAAAAAAAAATATATATATAGTAACAAACACCCTTCTTCTGATTGTATAGATTCACCAGGATTTACCTTTTTTCCCCGGGGTGATAGACTGGAGTCTCCACCAATCTTCCCTTTGATGTTGTATTCACTTTCGCCAGCACGGCACAGATAGATACAGTGCGGCTGAACATGGATGTTCATCAGATAATAGACAATCTTGCTCTGGATATGATCCTGAATCTTATTGACCAAAAATCTTCGACCAACATCAATCACAATAATCATGGACAGGTTCCTGTGAAAGTAAAAGGCATCACATTAGAACATGTGATAGCCATACCCAGATACATCTACTCAGAAGTAGTGAGTGTATAAACAGTAGAATTGTGAACATTTATAACCTAAAATGAGTCTGTACTGAACAAAATTAGGCCTTACTTGTCATGGCTGTCTGGATCAAGAGGTTCATAGCTTTTTTTGTAGCAGTTGATTCTTTTCATGAAGTCTTCCATTGCTTCTTTTGATGGACAACCTTTGTAGTCTGGACTGCTCAGTTTCACTTCCTGTAGAACACAACAAACAAGAGGTCATAAAACTAAAAATAAGATCCATTGATTTAGCCTAAACAATACACTGACTATTACATCTGTCACTGGCTCAGAACGTGAATTCATGTAAGCTTTTAACTCCTGACAGGACTAAGCAGAAAAGTAAAATAAAAAAGTAGGATTGTGGCTGGCCTCGATGTTAAGATTTAAATTTATGATTGGTTCTTTAATAGTTAACAAATAAAGCACTGAATTGATAATCTTACCATCACATTGCTGGCAACAACACTTGGGTCATCACACACAGATTCTATGAAGAATGCCTACCAAAAAAAATAAACCAAGTATTAAAACCATACAGTAACTTCAAACATGGTAATTGTTCACTTACAATATGCATAGATTATAATGAACGGGAGATTAACTCCGTAATATCAACTTACTTTAAAATTGTTTTCTTTGGCAAAGTCGGTAATCATTGTTCTTCTCTCTCTGGTTGTATTAGTGGCATCAAAGACCTGAACAAGATACAGAAATCATTAAAATTTGAGTAATTAATCAAATAAAAAGAATAAAAATGGTGAGGATTAAAAGTACAGAACATACAAAACAGTAACTTACAGCTATCTGTCCACCTTCTTCAGTCAGGTATAATTTAACATCTTCTAAGGCAGCAACGGCACATTGTCTGTATAAAGAAAAAGTGTTATTTATTTACATAAAGATGTCACAGAATGGCTTGACAGCTCAAAAGTAACACATTGGAGTATATGAAGGATCAGAGACATTCTGGAAACTATGGATATGACCAGTGGCAAGAAAAGGGAGCAGTGCTGCTATAATGGAAGAGATAACAGTGAAAGAATGTACCTTCTGACTTTCATGGCTTCTTGATTGTCTGCGCGAAAGAAGTCATATGAACTGAAATCCTTTACAGCTTCACGTCTGTACTCGCCAACATTAAAAACTGCAACAGAGAAACCCACCAAGTTAGTCAAAGAATTACATCCAGCAGTAAACAGATACATATATGCCTTTATTTAGTCATGATCAGGTAAAAAGCTTCAAGCCATTGTAATGCTTTATGTTAAGACACCTGGCTTTCTAGAACAGGAAGTATATGACGTCTTCAGATGAGTTCCAATTTAAGACGTGGAGAACATATTTGTTAGCTTATGGTAATTCTTATTTTGCAGGTTTGTAATATGGACTTTCCAGCTACTCATGTCCAGTTTACCTTTTGTAGGGACTCCACTCCAGTTGAGGTAACGTGTAAGCTTCTTTGAGATGTAGGTCTTTCCACGAGCTGGTAAACCAACCATTACAATCACAGTCGGAGAGTTGGCAAGATGTGGCCCACCCACTACAATTAAAAGAAAAAAGACAAAAAATAAAATACATAGATGATATTAAGGAGATTAGCAGACATCAATATCTGCCATCTGTTCTCACAGGGTTTCATTTATCATGCAACATGAGTCAGCAGCAGCAACTATGCAGACCTCATCTAAGAGGCAGCTGGAGCTAAGCAAAGAGATAGCTTGTGCATCCCAGTGAGGAATAAATGTATAATAGTATACTGTACTGCTTGTTTATCTTGTTAACACTAGATCTTGCCCTGGCTGTTCAACAGAAACAACCAGTAAGCAATACTTCGAGCAAGTAAGTTTTATGGACATCAAATGTTTCCCAAGTGAAATGCCAAGGTGGCGGGGACATTAATGTAAATGCCATTCACTACAAAATAAAAAAAGTATTACTGATCAAACATTTAGAGCATTAGACATTTATCGGAGATCAGTCTGCGATGCCCAAAATATTTGCAATTTTTCTTTGCCAAGCAATTGAGAAAAAATGTCCCAGGATCTCAGTAACAGATAAGAGCACTGACCTTAAAGGGAATTTTAAAAGAAAGGAACATTTGGGCACCCTGGTGTGTGTAAATTAGATGTCTGATAATTGCAATGTTTGCCAAGATTAAGATCACACCCTAAGCCACCCCCAGCTATTACAACATTTGTGGGACTTGCAAATACGAACAGAATTGGGCAACTTAGAAAGGGAGCCCATATGTAAATCTTTTGTTTACAATTAAATGCTGCAAAGATAAAGACTTAAAAGGGTTAAAAAAAAAAAAAAAAAAAAGTCATCCTGGACATTCTAAATTGAGCGTTATGTAAAATCACCCGAATTTAGTTTTCACACCAACCTTTGTCAACATAAAAAAATAAAATAAAAAATAAAATAAAAAGTTATGTTTTATTCAACGTGTTTCCACAGGGTGGGCAGGATAGGTTAGGGCCATTATAGGACAAATCTTAGCCTTTACTACGCTACAATTATAGGTGGCCAAAACTCACTTATGAAATGCTTTAGTGCCCTGGTTCCTTTCATCGTATTGTTCCCATAATGAAGTAGCTGCGTATGCCGACTTCAGACAGTTTATTATATTAATGCACATCAGACAGCTTAGCTTTATTAATTGCATCCTGTTTGCAGCAGGTAATCTCATGTGAATGTAATCCTCATAATCTAAAATGTTCTGGGCACATAGGAACACCTTTGAGGAAGGGGGAGAAGAAGGGGGGAGCAGTAATTTGGCAGATGGGGAATAATGGACAATCTGAAATATTAACTTTTTGGGGGGACATGACAAGTGCATCAAACAAAAGGGAGTCATGCCTGGTTTATTGTGGTCAAATTATCTTCTGAGACATATCAAACACTTGATGGTTTTCAATACAACAGAACAAGTCAAATGGTATTGTGTCTCCAGTACTGCATTCTCCTGACTCACTGGATATTGGTTTCTAGAGCCACAAAAAAAAAAAAAATTATACATTTATAAAAAAAAATAAATAAATGGGGAGGTTAACAGAGCCTAACCTTGTATTTGAGAAACCGTTTGATTGACCCATCTGATGCCCTACATTGCCCATTTTCTACCGAAGACCAATATTCTGTAAGTGTTTTGTAATACTGACCAAACACAACTGAACGATTTACTGGAATAAAAATCAGACCGTGTGAAAATGTACCTCTGAAAAAAAATATCTGTCGGTTTGATTTTAATCTATCCCACTAGATTTGGTTATTGTCACTTAAAGGATCACTATAGTACCAGGAAAACATACTCGTTTTCCTGGCACTATAGTGCCCTGAGGGTGCCCCCACCCTCAGGGTCCCCCTCCCGCCAGGCTGGATGGCGAGGAAAAGGGTTAAACTTACCTTTATTCCAGCGCCGGGCGGGGAGCTCTCCTCCTCCTCCTCTTCGGCTGAATGCGCGGCAGGAGCCGGTCTCATAGGAAAGCATTTACAATGCTTTCCTATGGACGCGTGCGTGTTCTCACTGTGATTTTCACAGTGAGAAGCACGCAAGCGTCTCTGGCGGCTGTCAATGAGACAGCCACTAGAGGATTTGGAGGCTGGATTAACCCATTTATAAACATAGCAGTTTCTCTGAAACTGCTATATATATATAAAAAAAAAGGGGTTAATCCTAGAGGGACCTGGCACCCAGACCACTTCATTAAGCTGAAGTGGTCTGGGTGCCTAGCGTGGTCCTTTAACGTAGCCAGAGAAATGTTGGTGCTATGTTAATAATCACTAAGGAAAAAAAATAGCTCAGTAACAAGAAGGGGGTGGGGACGCATTCAAGGCACCCATGATGCAGTTTTAGTTTATGGTGACCAAATCATAGATTGCCTAAAATGCATTCAATAAAATTAAAACCAGATGACAATGATTAATTTTAATTTCTCAGCGTGCATGGTGTAACAATATGAAACCGACTTACAGAATGGTGATTCATTGCCAAACTATATACAAAAATGCTTGATTAATAAACGTGACGAAACTATGTTGGTGCTACAAAAGAGAAAGAATAAATGCCATCATCACATCAGTGTTATTCCCATAGTGAATTTTATATTTAAGGTCAAAATAGCCAAACTGGAAAAACTCTCAACCATCTATGCTTTCATTTTTGGTACTGTGGCCTTAAAAGTTAGAAAAATTAATCGTTATAGTTAAACAAAATTTAGAGTTTGGAAAATTGCGTGGATCCACTGTAATCCTCTGCAGAGGACGCAAGGTCTGGTAAAAAAGTTATTTTGGATCTCTAATCCAGACATCATGGATTATGTATTCAAACCAGATGCACGTGGAGGGGGATTATCCTGAGCACTGCCTGCTCTACTTGTATAGAATGCAAACTAAACGTGAGTGCAGGAAGCAAAAGAGCCTTATTAAAAAAGAAAAAAAAAAAAAACACACACACACTATATTCTAAGAGATTTCAGGCAAAACAAAAAGTCAATTAAAATAACTGCACATCATTAGCATGACATTATGCTGCACCCAAACTCCTAAAACTGCTGTCCAACCATAGCCACAGATCTGTAGATTTCATTGATATGTTAATCCTGTATCCCTGACAACAGAAGCCCTCCCATGCCTGAAGGCATGACATGGGGATCTGGAGATGATGGGAAATTATGGAATGCTGACTGGCCATTAGACAATCCAAGGAAAGGAATGTGTGAATCACCAGCTGATTCCTAGGCAACACCTCCCCCCAACAATTCACGCATCCACCCCCCTCATTACACAGCATTGCCACGCAACGACCATCAACGCAATCCTACCCTGTTTAAGATTCAACCGGCATCTTCATTTAACTGGACAAGGCTTAACCCGCTAAATGCCCAGCAATCCAACGGGCACATAGATGGTTTTATATATTCTGATCAATGCAAGGCACAGGTTTCACAACGTGTATATGTAAGATGGGCAAGATATAAAATGAAAACAAAATATAGATCTTTCTCTAAAAACTCTCCAACAGAACAAAATCTGTGCTTAAAAGAATATACCAGATGCACGTACAGCTTCGATCCCATCAAAAAACAGAAGATCCAGCTGTGTGTACGTTGCGTTATGTCCATTTAATACGAGGGTGGAGAACTGGCATCTCGCAATAGAATGTTGCGGCAGGCTTTTCACTTTTAGAACGTTCACGCAGAACTGCTCTTTAAACATTCGAAATCTCAAGCCATCCCGCAACAAGTGCTCCCCACACACCTTCCAGATCGCAGTAACACGTGTGTAATGACGGGAGAGAGCACGGTACATAGCGATAATCCAGCCTCCTCAGCATCATCAGCCCCACGAGGGAGGCCAGCCATCCGCCTGCCCTGTATCCCAGCTTACCATTGATCGGCGTCCTTGGCGCATCGCCCATGGGCAACCAGGTCTTCTGAATCCGGTTCTGCCTCAACTCCAGGAGCGGCATGATAGCAAATAGGGGCAATAAGACCTCGAGCAAACGGTGCACTCCGGAACTCCCTCTCCAAAGGGATCCTTTATTTACTGTGCAGGAAGGATGGACTCTCACAAAATGAAATAAATGTATCAAATCCAATCAGGAATACTGAGCACAGTGATAGCGCGTTTAGTAAGACTCTCGAATAATGCTCACGATGTGATCAGTACACCTCCTCTAATCCTCTCTGATCGCTTCGCTCTCCGCGAGCTCTAAAAAACCCCGGCCGGCCAAATGCAACTTGATACCTCTTACGTCACATGCCGACAGTACCGCCCCCATTCCACCTGTTACTCACTGCTGCCACCAAGCGCTCATCTCTGTGTACTGCACAGTATCACGTCCTAGTGCCCCCGCACGTACATAGCTTAACCCCATGTTTCCCGGGAATATGGTGTAAGGGTGTTAGAGGAGAAATGTACAATTCTTGGTGTGAAAATAGTACATATTTTTAAATTGCACACGTGTAATGCGTTGCATAGAGAATAAACGAAAACAGAATACATATAGGATGTCATTTGTCAAGATAATCATAGTTATTCAATAAACAGTGAGTGTTATGGGTTGATAACCAGTTTAAAGCAATTTAAGCCAGAAAAGTTAATATAGAATTAACATGTACAAGGCGGCTGAGTTTTTAAATCTACATTGTGCAAATCAGTAGTCATTTCGATAAGACTTCGTTTAGTAAATAAGCCCAGGACCAATCAATAATACAGAAAACGAAATAACGGGAATGTGAGAGTTGAATTGGCAGCATGATATATTAAATATGCCCAGACTTAAATTCTTGTAAAAATGTGTTTAATTTTGTGTCATGTACGCCAAATATTTACTTCACCATTCCAATAAAGTATAGATGGTAAATGTCACTCACACTGCCTGGATCTAATACTGTATGTGATGATCACTATAATGTTAAATAGGTTTTTAAAACACACAGATGAGCAGAATCGTTTCAAAATATCTGGTTTATATTCATGGATAGCGTTTTAAAACTAAATATTACATTCACTTTCAAATATCTATTCTAATTGGGTGTGGGGTGGTGTTACCCGAAACTATGTTTGTTTCTGTATTTTCAGTGTAAAAAAATAAATTAAATAAAAATATTCAGAAACAGTGAATTAACAGCCGGCTGAAGATTATTTCAACTCAACTACTCAATCTATATTTGTAAATCTGTTATAAAATAGCCATGGCTCTCTGATAGTGAATATACATTATAGTTTTAGGACTAAAATTATACACCGTTATGGTGAATAGTGCTATAGTAGAAATCTCATTGCGTCAATATCTGGTCTCGTGTTCCTATGTTAAACATTTATCTAATTGTTTCCTACTATTAGTGTGTATTTTTTTTGTTGATCTTCCACTCTTGTTAATCACCCATTACTGAAGAAGATAGGATGGGGATGGGGATAGGGATAGGGGGGAGGAAAGGGGGGAGGGAGGGTAGAACGTCCACCCCCTCCCTGTCTTTTGTTCTTTTGAATACACTTAATCCACTCTACTGATACAATATAAAATATCTACATTTTAAAAATGCTCCCTATGCTTAGTTAACAGAATTATAATGTAAAAGGTGCTCCTATCACTATTTCTGAACCCGTGTACAGTTTTTTTTGTTAGTGATAACACTGATTCACACACACAGCTATTGTCATTTAATGTCACCCACTCTCCATGTCAGTTACTAGGCACAGGTCTTGTAGGCCTTCCCCCACACCTTTCCAGATGCAATGTGACTTCTCTGGATTTTGGCATGTGAAAGGTTATGTTCGCTCAAGGTTTTTCTATTACAACTATAAAAGGAACAAATAGGACACAGTCAGCCCGACACTGGCAAATGTCTAAGACTTTTGTGGCCCAAGGCTCAGTACTGGTCCTGTCTCTAAAGACATATGTAATGGCTCTTATTAACACAATAAAAAAAAGACGTTGCATTCAGTAGAAAAGCAGCGCTCAGGAGACTGGGCTGGGTAACAGAAGGTGGTCTTGGCAACCAAGAGGGGGGTCGGAGGTTTCCTGTTGCTACCTCTGCCTGGGGCACGTCCCTCACGTCCCAAAAGGCTGTAGAGGTTTCCCTCCCCCCTCCAAACTGACTCACATCTCTGCTGGCCATGCACTCCTTGGGTCTTCACTGTATCTCCTCTGAGAGGTTCTGCCAGAAATACACCACTCATTCAGACTAGTAATCTGCAGAAAGACTACGGATTTTATAAGGATAGTTCATTTCTCAGATATAGGCATTTTTATTGAGCCTTTTTAGAAAAACATTACCTCACTGAAAACAAAATATGAATGTGGCATATATGCAAACCAAAAAAAAAAAAAAAAAGTATCAAGTAATATTCCAAGGCAGCCCACAGATTGAGCTGCATTTATAGTTTAACATCTTACTCAGAACATGCATTTATTTACTAAACCGGAAACCAGTCAACAAAAATTGAGGCTCAACTATCCAAGCTGTGACTATTTATTTATAAAATATTTTACCAGGAAAGATACATTAAGATTTCTCTCGTTTTTAAGAATGTCCTGGGTCCACAAAACATTGCATTGATACATTATGGTACAATAAAATACTAAAACAATATTTATACACAACATATATAAAATGTAACTGGAAATATATAATCAACCATAACACATGTATTCTGTCTTGAGGTATGTAGAGAGGGATCTCTAAAAGGACTTTAGGCTTGGATAAGAGTTTAAAGTGTGCGGGAGGTCGTTCCATAATTGCGACTATGACTCAATAAAGGAGTACTTGAAATCAACACTTTGTGCACACATTTTGCAAATTGTTTACAATTCACTACAGTTTGGTGTTTAGTGAGTAAACCATTCTATATTACCCATAGAGTCAGTGCTAGCTGCACCAGTGGGAGAGCAAGCACCTGACCCCCCAAGCTTTGCTTCATATCTTTATGTTCAGGAGCCTGTGAGCAAACCAAACAATGCTACACATTTCATATTACTCATTTATTCACTCAGTTCATTGTCACACAACATGCATTTCACACACTACTTTTATCCTTTTTTATAACGGAGGTTTTGGGGGAGTTGAGTAGGGAATGGCTTAAGACTTCAAATTTAATTCCTTTGAGCCTAATTCATTTGAAAAAAAAAGTCAGATGAGGTCAGCTAAGTTGGGTGCCTGAGGCAATGACACACTCGCCCTGTCCACAAAATGCACTGTATGGAGAAAATAACATCTCCTCAAGCAAATTAAGCTGTCCTGAACAAACCTTTAAATCTTCTTGTAAACTAACTTGAAAACGCCGCCTGTTAAAGAGGAGACAGTCAGCATCATTCAATGATGTAAAGGTAAAAAGAGCCTGCAGGTGGCACAGAGCAGTCAGGGTAAATAAAAGCAAAAATAACTAACCTACCAAAGTTAAAAACTATAGTCCTAGATCCTTAAACTTGGGTAAGATGCTCAACATCAAATCTCAAAAATATAAAACATAATTAATACAAAGAAAATCTAATTAATATGCAAAATAAAGACAATTTACAGGTGTTTTTGTGGGAGTTTTTAATTAAATGGACACTTGAGACCCATAAAGCACCTCACTTTTCTTAAGTGTTTCAAAGGTTAACAGCATACCCCATAGCAGTCAATTTCATGAGAAACAGACCCTTTTAATAATAAATTTAGTAACAAGAGACAAGTGACAATAGAATTGCAATTTTAGGCCAAAGTACCCAAGCTAGAAAAAAGATTCATAGATGGAGACTTCTTTTTTTTTAGTTACTTAGCCTAAACTTTGAAGTTTCCTGGTCAATTATCAACAATGCTAAGTTTACTGCATAATCACACATGATGATTTCCACCATATCCATAACATAAACACTACCCAATTTGAAAAGAAAATTTATTTTAGCATTGTAATAGTTGCAGCAGTGTTTTCACTGAAGTGAGAATTGTTGGGAATTCAAAGTGAATTTTAGATCGAAATAGCTGAATTGAAAGCATAGCAGACTTAGAGAAGTTTTCCAGTTCAGCTCATTTATAAATAAATTTTAATTCCAGACAATTCTCACTTTAGTAAAAAAAAAAACAATAGTGTTTTTGTCACTTAAAACAAAACTGGAATAAATTGAAATGTTATTTAACAAAATTTTAAGCAAAACACGCTCATCTAAATACAGATATAGTCACAGTTTGGATATTTCAGCACAAAACAGGTTTTCTATTCACTAGAGTTCAACTATATCAATATGACAAGGAACTATTGTTTTTTTCCTTAATTAAGAACAAAGGCGTGTAGCCTCAGAGTAATTCACCTTGTCTAAACTTCCAAAGTGTCACACTCTAATGGCAGATATGTCATAATTTGTGTCACACATAAGTGACTTAGCTGAGAGAAACCTTTTATTTAAAATGCCAATTAAGGTAAATTTGATTATTCATGACACGCTCCTGCAGTGAAGGAAAATGAAGATTTATCATGACCGTCCTGTTATCAAAGTGATATTTATTCACAACATACTCGCAATATTTTGCTTGTTTTTTTTTCTTCAAATTTTAATATCTGGAGACTTATGGCAATCTGTGGCTTTGGTGTAAACAGCTCTACGTTGATACTCTTGTGGCGAGAGAAATGGTGTGTCCTCCAATAGTTTATATGCAAAACGAGTGACGGTCACAATTTATACATAATTAGAGTTACACTCTGGATACCAGGGTGGTTCAATGTAGGCAACTGACTTCCTTCACGAGCCTCTGATAAATCAGTTCTGGTTTGCAGTGGGAAGGCTTTTAATACACTTGCCCACCCAAAGTGAATGGTCAGCAATACATGCAGGAAGCAGAACCTCTATGGCTCCTGCATTTGGCCGTGCCATGGCTAATTCTAAGCTGCGCTGTAAAGTATAGCAAACTTTGTCCTTGCTCCATTTATAATCGAAATAAACAATGCCTTGGGTACTTACATAAAAAATTAAAAAATAAAACAAAAAAAAATATTAAGGGCATCTTGCCCTATTCTGTGGACATGCATGCCTGGAAGGTTTTACTTAGATGTGGTTTCAGCATCAAAATTTTGGAATATATTTGCTTGAAGTGTCTGTGTATGAATGTAGGGATTGAAGTGTATTTCTGTAACCTGTTACTGAGTAAATATAGGGTATAAGTTGTGTGGCATGTCTGTATAATAACCAACACTGCGCACTGTGGTGCTTATGGTTCCAGATGTCCCTTGGTACCATTGAACGGTAAGTAATCAAACAATTTTTCAAGGATTTGCACTTACCAGGATCCCGCAGACACCCGTGCTCCAACCCCTTCTTTTTTATATTTTGAATGAGGGCCTCAATTTAATAGTTTTGGATTAACTTTTCAAAATGATTCAAATCCTTCAGAAACATTTTTTCAAAATGATTTAGCGTAAAAAAATCCCATAAACTTTAATGTTGACTTCTGCAGGTAAATCATTTGAAAAGTGTTTCTGACAGATTTAAATTATTTGGAAAACTTATTAGATCAAGGCTGGTCAATCCCCATTTACTGCACTATATATATATATATATATATATATATATATATATATATATATATATATATATATATATATATATATATATATACACACGATATTGACCAATTTTTATTTAAATGCTATTTTTGGTAAAAAATAAATTAAATAAAACCGTGCTGAATGATGTCACTCATGAGTGTCCTTTTTTGTGTAATTTTCTTCTTTTTTTGTACTAAGTGTTATTACCACATATCATTGATTATATAGTGGTAACAGACGAACCACACAATCAGTTTAGCTGGATAATTATTCTCCTTTGATTTATAAACCACTGACAGGGCAGAAAATTTATATGTATAGGCAGGTGATCCACCTACAGAAACTGATTTTCTGCGGAATTTTATTATCATGCAGGGTGGTGGAAATCAGATTGTCAGATAACTGATGATCTACTGTGTGTTAATCAATAACCTAAAGATTTTCAAAAGTCACCCTCTTATTTGAATCTATGTTATATTTCTTTTGTGAAAATGGATGACAGTTGACAATTATTTTCTATTTTTCTTTAAATCATAGTTTTGTTTAGAACAGCCATGAAAAACATACCCCATGCTAAGTCTTTAAATCAACCCAGTATTTACCAATCATGATTATTCCAGAATTCTTAGGTCTTTGACAAGTATTACAGAATTAATTGATATGGTACCAATAAAAGTCAATTCTGAATTATAAGAGATATGAATTATTTACCCTCCATCCCTTATCATTTATAGTTAAAGGATTATTTCACAAGAGCACATACTGTATTTGCCAATTATAAGAGAAGGTTTTTTTTCAGAAAAAGAAATTGTGAAAACAATGACCTCGTCTTATAATGAAGGTCGTCTTTTTCGTGCGCTTCCACCACTGTTAGTGAGGTGTACTGAACCATTCATAAACATTGTTCTACACCTAAGCCCCATCCTCCTTTAATTTAAAAATCTTTTCCTTCAAAATGAGAAGTTTGACTATTGCTGTTCCTAAAGGAGCAGAAACTTTTGTGCGCTTCCACCACTGAAAACAGTCATCACTCCCGCACGTGAGCACCATATTACAGAGCACAGTTAGCTAAAATACTGCATCCTGTATTATAACAATTCAAACCAAGCCACACAGAAGAAAGGAGACAGAAGCACATCAGCCCCGCCGACAGTGGCGAAACTAACACCGGTGCAGCTGGTGCAACACTGGGGCCTGCACACTTGGGGGGCCCATGCACATTAGTTGGCCCAATGGGAGTTCCTAAACAGGGGCCCGGTTAGGCGCTGCGGCCCTATAACAGCTCAACAGGGCTCCTGTCACTATCGGATACTTCCTCTCATTTTAAATAGAGAGCACCGCGAGGGAGAGGAAAATAGCTAGCTTCTTAAGTATTTAAAAGTTTTTAAGTTTATTATGTATCTGAGTGTTTGTGTATCTGTGTGTCAGTTTATCTTGCGTCAACGTGTAAGTATCTGAGTGTGTGTCAAAGTGTGTGTATGTGTTGGTGGATACCATAGGGTACTCTAATATTCAGGCCTTTTCTTTTGTTCTTTTCAACAAGATCCAAAATTTGGGGAGTCATCTTATAATCAAGCAAATACGGTAATTGTCATCAATGTCTCAATGTTTAAAATGTACTTAAATTGGCTTCAATAAAAGGTATTGCTAGCTCTGTAGAAGAAAAGGGTCATGGGGAAACAACACGACCTTCTCTGCTACTTGCAGGAGCTATCACTGTGCTTCTACTGAAATTGTCACAAGTTCAGGTAGCTAAGTGAATAAGTACCCTGCTTAATGTACAGGACAGCTGTCCTGTACAGTTACACCACTCAGTCCTTTACTGTCCTCACATGTAATTCGTTTTACTCTGTTTAAATGAGCATCCACTGTGCTTACTCATGTATTTTTACTTGACAATTGTTTCCATTATTATAATAAAGACCAGTTATTAAATATTCCACTTTATTTTCACTTAAATTCTAACCCAGTCAAAAGATATACTGAGGCAAAGTAGGGACTACTCAGTATTTTCTTATGCCAAATGGAATTGACTTTACCTATGGAAGATTCCGCATTCTTGGCGCCCGCAAGGGACAGGTTCAGGCAAGTTAAATTTACATTTTCTTGACCCCCCAAGACTACTGGACCCCCACCACACCAGTCATGTCACCGTTGAGGATCTTTGCAAATCATAGAACAGGCCAAAATAAATGACTTGTATAAAGTCCACCAATGCTGTTATAGTGATCATATTAAACAATCTTTCCCAAATACTTGTTTGAAATGTATTAAAGTGTCACAAACTGTAAAGTTCTAAAAGTGGGTCTTTCACCACAATAACCAGAATAGGATGTTCCTAAAAGTTGACAATTGACCCACTTGGAAAACTCAGTCTTTTCTATTATAATCTAAAATATATGGCAATTTGTTTGGAGAGAACTCATTGTGGAGTAATTACCATGGAAACTAATAGAAAATTTAATTCAGGACTCTGCACCCACTTTCTGTTGCCAACACTTTTGCAACATTGCATCATTTGTAGGAAAGATTGAGCTAACTTAATTTGATTTCAAAACCTAATTATATAACACAGCTGTATTGGCTGATTGTATCTATCAAGCACTTCTTTAATCCAATTCCCTATATGGCAGATTTTAGCAGCTACCTTGCAGTGTTAAAAAGTCTGCTGGGTTGTGGAAGTTCCTGGAGACAATGAACCTATGCTCATTAGAATACAACTGTTTTTAGAGCACAATACAGGATGTTTGATTCCTTCTCTTGTTTTCACTGGGATGAACTAGAAATTGCAGTTTTGTTCATTGGTTTCACATACAACCAGGTGAAAACTGGCACAAACTGAATAGGTTATATTTGCTCTATATTTACAGCTTACTATTTAGAGTTGAATTTATCTGCAAAAGCAGACCCAATAATATTAGTCTGAAATAAAATAATTTGAAACATAATTTTCATACATTTGTAAAAACAATGAAAAATATATTTCTTTGCAATGTATTTCAGATTCCCATCATTGGTGGAGTGCCCACCAGAGCATTGCAAAATATATACATAATATTTATATTAAGTGTATATTTTGTAGTACACTAATTGGCCCATTTTCATATACCTTTTTGGTTTCTTGAATGTTTCCACAAATATTTTTCCACGGCTGATATTTGGAAGAATTAACCATTACCTGAATGAGCATAGGAAATCCCACCAAGAAATTGAATTTAAGGAAAAATTAATTGACAAAACCAAACTTTCACATCGTGCACAAGTCTAGTGTAAATTTCCTGGGTCATATAGGAACCTTTATGTTTTAGACAGTGGGCATTACCTATTGAAACATGCATTCACCCAAACAATTTTTAAACTTTTATTTATTAAGCATGCAGCTGTAAAATGCATTTATTTCTCATTGTTTGCACTGGAAAATGAATGGGTAAGAATATTGACTGGAACGGTTCAATCAATCTCATCCCCCTTCAGCAATATTGCAGGGGTGTAATTCATCTGCATTAATATGGATTTATTTAAAGATATATATTTGTTTTTCTTTTTTAATGGTTTTGTTATTTATATTTTAAAATGTTCATCATATTTTATTTATTTTTTTCTTAACCTCTTAAGGACCAAACTTCTGGAATAAAAGGGAATCATGACATGTCACACATGTCATGTGTCCTTAAGGGGTTAAAGGAACACTACAGCCAGGGATAGAAATGTGGATTAGTGCCCAAGTCACCGTTTAGGTGGCCGGGGCCCCTCTGTAAGGGTTAAAAAGGTGTATTTTTTTCACCTTTTCTCCCTCACAATTCTGGTCTCTGGCATGCCACTTTGCCTCTTTGGCTGAGATAATTGAGATCTCAGACAACCCTATGCTTCCCACAGTAAAGCATTGGAAGGCTAGTGAACATGTGTGGAAATAATATGCTGCACCAATCAGATGTTCTCTATGATTTAAATTTTGGTGGAAGTGCATCTAGTGGCTGTCAGGCAGGTTAGCAGCAGTGTTTTCAGCTGCAGTGTTAAAACAGATGAGGACATGGCACCCAAACCACTTCATTAAGCTTAAGTGGTCTGGGTGCTATACTGACTTTAATTTTGATAAATGCCTATTTCAAAAGGCAACATATGTGTATCAAATTCATTGCATGTTGGTTGACTGTGCTAGCATTTATATTATGTTTATTTTTATTGGTAAAGGTTTGTAAAACACCACCATGCTTAAAAAGACCTACACTTGAAGTTTTCTGTCCACCTCCACCTATCAAACATTAAGATCATGACACAAAGACTGTTGAGCAGATGTCTCCCTATAGGTTGTTTGGATATTCCTGGGTGGGAGGAGAGAAATGTTGTGTTTATTTACTTATGTTTATCTCCGTTTACAGTGAAAAGCTATTGAACTGGAATCCTCAAATCTGCATGCAACTGGCAAATTCAGGTGTAAAGTGGATACACAGCTTACTGTCTCTTTGATGAATAAAGTAAACCTGTTGTAAAAAAATTAACTGACCTAAAAATCACTCCCATATACATTGAATGCACCATATTTTATAAAGATACACCGTGTATTCAATGTAAAATATAGATTTACTCACTTTCCTCTATCCCAAGACCGCTTTGGGGCTGTTACTCTTTATGTAACACCCAACCCTGGGTGGTCCACTGCTCCACCTGGACGTTTTTTGTTTTATTTTCCCTGCTTGGGACACACCTTTGTTGCCAGCGTGCTGGCATAGTAACGTACTTAGGTCACGTCACTCCATTCCTATGCCTTCTAGCCAGCGCTTCCACTGGCAGCAAACGCAGCGCAAGCACATTAAAGCAATGTTTTCCTATGGGGATTTAGCTGATACTCGATATCTTTATGCAGAGCATGAGGACATCCAGCCTCAGTTAGGCAACCTAAAGTTGCATAACAAGCAAGAAGCGCCTCTGGTAGACAGCCACTAGAAGTTGTCTTAGTTTCGCAATGTTTTTCTAAAACTGCAAAGTTTTACATTGCGGGACTAAGCGTGACAGGGACATCGCACCCAGACCACTTCAATGAGCTGAAGTGGTCTGGGTGCCTATAGTGTTTTGTTTTTTTAATTCACATCTAATATGGCAGACATTTGAAATGTAATTTATGGATGTTAGTAAAGTCTTCATAAATTTTACATGTACATTAGGGTCTATGTTCTTAATCTGTGCATTTTTTGACACAAAGTCTGCAATAGTTCTCTGTGGAATCTGTAGAGGAGTTTGTCCATGACCTTTGCATCAAACACTCTAAAGTACCATTGTTGTTATATATTGTGAAACAGCGCTGCTAGAACACACGGACAGAGCGCTACTTTTTCCTCCACTCAATGTAAGTTTATTTATTGGGGTATGTGTAAGCTTCCTACCTTAATGTCTGCATTTCTCAAGTAAAAATATGTGACTTTCAAAGAAACCTCTTCAAAAGAGTTGGAGTTTTAATCACTGAAAAAGTTACACATCTAGAAGGTGTAGCAATTATTTTATAATGTTAAGTCAAAAAGAAAATCTAAAACCACACCATCATAATCAGTAATAAAAACTAAATGTTAACTATTATTTATATTGGACCAATTTAGATTCTGATGTAATAAATATTACATGACAATGTTTATTGTTTCATTTCAAAATATGAACAGGTTTCTTGATTTATGCTAGGTAAACTGTTTTTTTCTGGATGGGTCTAGTTAGGATAGGTATTCTAATACAAAGCTACCTATTTTTTTTATCTTTAATCTGAATTACTGGGCAGCAGGAGTAAACAAAGAGATTTGTGATGCCAGAGATAATGTAATCAACACAGCCAGCAAACAGGTGTTTATTTGTGGCATCACAAATCTCTTTGTGTGTGTGTGTGTGCGTGCGTGCGTGTGCATGTGTGTACATTCTTGTATGTATGTTTGGTCACAAAAATTGACCATTGCTTGGCCGTCTTCCTGAGTTCTCTGTAGTATGTAATTACAGCTCATTTAGCAGGTGTGTGTGTGTGTATGAGGTTTAGGAAAATAAAAATTAAACACAATAACCATTTGACAATATTAAGTGACAGCTACAATTTTTTTTGTTTAACCTTTCTTATTTTATTTAAAAGAACACTTAAACCACCATAACCACTACAACGACGTGTATTGGTAAGGTGCCAGGAGTGCTCTGCATATAAGCAGTCAACCTGCTTGCTAATGGTCTGACTTCCTATCTGGGGTCCACAACCTCTGTGAAGAACCAGAAGCTCTATGCTCTGAGCTAATCTCAGTATTGCTGACACTCTCAGCCAATGAACTGGCCCTGCACGGCAGGATTTTAGCTCAGGAGATCTAACGGAAGCTCTTAGCAGTAGCTTTTGCCTCTCCATAAAGGCTCTGTGTGGTGTCCGGTGGTCTACAGGTAGGAAGTACAGTTTAATTACTTACATTGAGGGAGCATCAGGGCATGCTGTAGTGGATATCGTGCATGGATTATACCTTAAATATGTTGATGTCTAAATATATGAATGAATGGCTTTGTGTCAATATTTAATAAATCATTAAACATCTATATCATCTCTTTTGTTATATTCTGACGCCAATATCATGGTCTCACACCATTGTAGGTTATTGCACCAGGCCGTCATATTTGGGCTGCACAAATAAATGTCTGATGCAGTCAATGTGGCTTGTGAATACTAAATAAAAATGCAGTACTTGGTGGTGGTCCAGACATATTGATTGCGGTCTTTTCACAATAAATTATTTTAATGCTGGAATAAAGTCAACCTGTTTTGAGTGTATATTTGATACCATGAACTTTTTCAAAGTGGCTTACGCATGAGATTTGTCATAAGACTACACAACTGAATTGGTTCTGGTTCTTGGGGTCTATTTAGGACATACACCCATGGAATGAATTTCAAGTATAAACAGTCAGCCAGTACGAAGACCTCTAGCTGCATATTCACAAAAGTGAACATCAAATATATGTCAATATATAAAACATTTTTACTGCTGTCTGATTCCAGCTGAAAGCAGACAGTGGACCTGGTTGGCGGTAGTCACTCATTGCTCCTGTAGTGAGAACCAGCCTGGAGATTATTCACTGAACAATCAACTGTGAAAAATAAGTACATTTGAAAATGTAAGTCGAAACGCTATTGTGATAGAAAAATAATTTTCCATGTCAGCAAGTTTCTGCGCTTTTATCGGAAAGGCAAAAGATCTTGAAAATACTCAACTATACAATCTCTCTTCTTATGTTTTGAAATTGAGTGAGGTGATCAGTATACACTTCAGGTGAAAGTATTTTAGTTGACAATACAATTAAATTAGTTTCTCTGGAATGTATGAAGATAAAGGCTAGTCCCTTGCTCAACAGGAAATGATTTGACAAGACTTCTGAAAGTCTATAATATTCTTGCTTCAGCCGGAGTCTCAGTTTCTTTGTTTTAGTTTCAATGAGCATTCACAAGCCTGCTCAGATAAACCCATCAATCAGTATCTAAGGAGCAGCCATTATCTAAGTAATACAAATTACAGATTAACATGAACAGGTTAACTATGATAACGATAAAATGTAAGGTTTCCAATTTGTTTAATGGGATGGGTTGAGAACAGGCCATACATCCATTCTAGAGTTGTCTCCTTGCCCGGAGCAACAATACTAGTGTTGAGAGATAAATGAATAGTGCTTTCCAACAGTATAAAGAATTCACATGGTGTCAAACGGAAATGGAGTAATTAATCATGCTACTTCCTACGAAGTCTCTTTCTTAATTCATATCCTCTCTCAGCATGTGAATTATACATAATAATGGGAAGCACTATGCATGTACCTCTTGTAAATAACAGGAAGATATACAGAGAAAAATTAGTTAAAACAGCAACTCTAATCCATTGTTTTTCAATTTCTGTTTCAATGTTCTTTCCTGAAACAGTACTGAGCAGGCAGCTAGTCTTACACTTGTACATGCTTTGCTCGAATGATGTTGTAAGGACTGGACTGAAGCATTCAGCTCGGAGCTAACAGTGTTCATGAGTAGCAAGCACTGAATACTAGCATGTAAACAAAGGCATAACAGAAGTTTTGAGATTCCTTATCGGAAGATGTTAGCATTTCTAGGAACAAGAGGAGTGAACAAATAGTGCTCATGCCTCTGATGTAAGCAGGGAGAAAACACTGGCTACTAAAATATTGGTGTCCATAATTCATAAATTAATAATAGCATTGCAAGGATTTCTTTTAACAAAAAATATTAATAAAAAATAGATTGCTACCATCCAATAATCAAGCTTGCAGCTAAACCACTGGCAACCAATGTATATGCTCACACACATATATGCTATGCAGTTTTTTTTACATCAATTAATGCCATTTAACAACTACCAATACAGCTGCCACAAGAAAAAAACTGTTACTCCCCAATAGTTGAGAATAACATTTATACCACAAAAGGGCGTGTGTATAGGTATTCAGAGATGAAAAGAAATAAGGGAAATGGACCAGTAAAAAAACAACACACTGTAATAAACAGTATTATGCTATGCTCTGTTTTTTTTTTCTTGTTCTTACATTTTATATGACTATGCATCCGAATTAAGCATTTTTTCTCTGAACTTATTTAAAGAAACAGTTCACTGGCCAAATACAACATAAATTAAAATCACTGTTTAGTAGATATATCCCCATTGAAAAAAATGCATAATCAAGTGCATGCGAGTTTTTATATGGTGTATATTTAAAATCAGCTTGCAAAACCTGCAGATCTCTGGTCTGCTGCCTTTTCAAGCCCCTCCCCTTCTAACCCCGCCCAGACTTTCTGTGGCTGTCCAATCACAGACTTCCCAATACAGCTCAATTAGAAGTCTTCGCAAGTCAGGTGCTCTGGGCAATTTTTGCCTCTTAGGGTCTGCTGTATTGAGCTAACAAAACCAGGAAGTAACAGAACCTGTTGTCTGCATTAAAGCCAGGGTGTGTAACCACGTTCATTTATAAAAGTGTCAATTTCTATTGAAATCTAATTGAAATTTAAAAAAAAAAAAAAAAACACACACTCTTCACACATAAAGCTTTTCAGCAAACTAAAGTTGTTTAGGGGTCTTGAGTAACCCTTTAAGTGTATTTTTAAAACTTTTTTTAAAACTATGCTTTAAAAAAAGAATACTGTAGGCTTCCCTGATGAAAATCTGTTGATATGTAAAAGATACACTGTTCATTCCATTATATGTAAAACTGTTTGCAACATCATTTTTATATAACTAATAAAACAAATCATACATTTTACATTGTTTCATATATCATATGCCTTTCCATTCCAGGTGCAGAGATCAGTAATATGGGAAGCACACAACTATTCTTAGTCTGCTATAATGAGTGATTACACTGGTGATTACATTGTATTGTCACCTTCCAGACTCAGCTGTTGATACAGGCTGATACAGCATAAACTAATGACCCAGCAAACTAAGATCATCCCAACCCTGAATAGGAAAAGACAGTAACAGGGTTATTCATTAAACCAAGGGTCAGAAATTAACAAAATAAATTAAACTGTACAGAAAATATCAGCACATTAATGGCCCCATGGAAAATTTACAGTGGTATTCACTAGAGTGAGAATTGTTGGGAATTCAAAGTATATTTAAGGCCAAAATAGAGGATCCGGAAAAATTCTCCAGAACATCTATATACTGTCAATTCAACTCATCAAAGAATTTTGATTTGAAAACAGTTTTCCAGCACATAATAATTACCCAAATATAAGTGCATAAGCACGTTTAAAGTCCCCTGAAGTGCATACACAGACACTGACAGAGTTATTCAGTAAACTATGACTTACAGCAAATTGAAATCCAAATTACAAAATTCAGGATAAAATAGCCAATGCGTGACTATAACTAGCATGGAGAATTTGCACAAACCATACATTTTTGTTATTCAGATTTCAACTAATTATAATTAGGGATTAAGTGAATACACCCGACGATTTACAGGGATGATGCTATATGTGTACCCTCAGTATAGTACATTCATTAAGTGGGGGTACAAGATTACAGCTGCAGCAACTCTTGCAAATCATTGATAGTGTAAGTAATGGAATGCAGTGAGACCTGACAAGAGAGGGGGATACTTGTTCCACAAGTAGCATGAATGGTTTTGATCTTAGAGTATATCTTAATGGTGTTCTTCTATATAAAATATATAGTAGCCATTCAGCAAGCAATGATTAAATATGAATAATGTGACACTTTACTATTCTGTGTATTATTTAAATCATCTGAATATCATTTAAAGGTTCTGCTTTTACATTGGAAACATATTCTTTATATTTGTAAATACCTAATGGTGCTGTATTGAAACAAAAGTATTCAACCATTTTAATCCTATCTTTTGTGATGGAACAATTAACCATTCTTAACAAAAGATGGGGAACAAAAACTCCCTTTTTCTATGTCTTCCCTTGATGTAGAGAACAAAACTGTATTCAAATTAGTGTCTTGGAAGCATTAATGGGCTTCAATACAAAACCTGCAGCTAGTTGTGGAGGTGATGGGTTCATTGACCAAGACAGTAAACGTAACAAAAGAACGTCTTCCAAAAGCATGGAGATAAAAGGACTTTGAGTACAGTGATTTTAATGAACTATGACATACTAACCTACCACATGCAGTCACGGGAAAAAGAGAGTACACCCTCTTTGAATTCTATGGTTTTAAATATAGGTCTTAAAATTAGGTAAAACATAGGTCTTAAATTTAGGTAAATACAACCTTAGATGAACACGAACAAACAGCATATTACAAGCTGTCATGATTTACTATAAATCGAAACTGGAGAAGCCATGTGTGAAAAGTACATATTAGGATTCAATAGCTCGTAGAACCACCTTGAAGCAATCATTTTCTGTATGACTTGTTGTTGTGACTGTATATTACCACGTCTTCTTTTAACCTCAAGTTCTCATAAATAAAAGTTCAATAGCAGTTAGAGGAATCCTTTTATATACCGTATATACACACACACACATATACATACATAGAAACAACAAACAAGCAAGGCACTCAATAACTCTTAACATAAAGTACATGCCTGGGCACTGCTCCAGCCAATAACTAAACAAATGAAGAGAGCAATTTCAGGTGAATATAACTGACTTTATTGAAGTTTAAGTTTAATGTGTCAGTCCTATAGTGGACTTTTAGCATGACATTGGTTTTACAGTGATTTTAATGAACTATGACATACTAAACTACCACATATATTACCAAGTCTTCTTTAACCATGTTCTCGTAAAATTTAAATATAAAAAAGGTTTAATAGCAGTCAGAGGAATGATTATTCTTGTATGTTTGTGAGTGTATATATATATATATATACACACACACACACACACACAAACACACACACACACACAAGCTTGTTTATATATACACTCACAAACATACAAGAATAATCATACTATATATATATATATATATATATAATATATGATAGTACTATCCAATTTATAATAGCTCTGAAATATTCAATTAAACATTGTGACTGTAAAATTTATTATAGTAATGGTATAATGTTGCTGCGGTGTTAAGGCCATAGATCCATCATAGCCCTATTTATAATGATAGTGTCATTACAATCTGGGGTGCACTGTTGCACCTGCTGCTATAGTAATGTGGGGTACAACAGTGTATCCTGCAATCTCGGTTTCCTTACATTAGGATTAATTAGTGTTTAGGACTGGTGGATATTCAGGTTTAGAATTATGGGCGTTATATTCTACATTATGTTTACACTCAAATCTTGAATCCCACTTTAATCTAAGCCCCCAATACTAACTCTTAGTAAACCATAAAGCTAAACACCTTCTAACTCCGAGCTCCCTAACACCAACTACAAGCCCAATAACCCATATTCATTCATCTTGAACAATGATTAATGGAGAAGTAGTGATGTCACATTCTTAATAAAGCATTGCTGTAGGTACCCCACAACCGTGATCCTTAGTCTGTACAACTCTAAGCTACAATGATAATTTGGGATGACTGTACGGGGTACAAAGTTGCACAGGGTACAACATTGTCTACAAAAATGAAATTAAACTCATCATTATAAATGGCACTATCATTATTATCTGTCTGATATTTCAGTGTGGCGGCACTATAGCTTTGCAATAATAATGGTCACCTTTTTCAGTAAGAATTTTCATATCAACATTATTGGAGTAAATCTTTGCTGACAGGGCTAAAAAAAAAAAAAAGATTGTTTTATATGACCTTAGACTTTGAGATGTCCATTGCAAAACCGAGGAAATTCCCTGAGCTGCAGGCAGACCTGTCTGTGAAAGTAGGCAAAATCACCTATAAATTGGATGGCCAGGCTGACCCACAGCCTGCACCCTCAAGGCAGACCAAGCACTGAGTGCAGAAGCTCTCATTGCATTATTCTAGTGTCCCATCCCCTCCTGCATCATGAAATCTGCCCTGCATATTTGAACTGCTTGTTAGATCTGAGAATGTGGGACAGGTCCCTGTGATTCATTTTTGCAAGGACAGCACCACAGGCCAAATCGGGACCTTTTGCAAAATTCAAGTAGACCATGTGCACTGCACCTCCGAGTTCCTTTTTGACTAGTTTTACTGGTAGGTTCTTTAACAGTTCTTCATTTTGCTTTATCTCAATTCTATTCTATGGAAGCCAGTTGGGCATGTTGTAGACTGCACAAGTTCTTCCCCTACTAGCTAAATCCAGTCTATTGCAACGCCGGGTCCCAGATTTAAACCACAGATAAACATGTTAACACCTAAAGGAAGGCAATAAAATCAATGAAACAACATTCCTATGTATGCTATTGTCCATGTTTACATGTATCATTTGCTTCTTTTTATGGCATGTACCATATTGTCTATTAATGCGAATGACTTTAATCAAACAAGCCAAACAAATGTCTACAGATGGATTTCTGCTCAGAGCTAGTGCATATTAGGAAAACCATTTGAAACAGGCTGCAGTGAAAATCCTTATCTCAAACACACACATTTAATTTTCTCAAAACAAAAACACACCCAGACCCAGACTATTTTACTTTCACTACTCAAACATTAATAGAAAATAGAAACTACATCTGCTCATACAACAACATAATTTGCACAAAGTATCCTGTTCCATCAGTGCTGACTCACATGTTGAACTTAAAAGTATGATTATATCGTTTACACTTTTATATCTAACTCTGTGCACTGCATTATAATTGGATGTATAGAGTAACCCCTTAAGGACTGAGCCAAATGTACACGTTGTGATCAAAACAAAACGTAAACAAAACCTGGAATCTGACTATATGTCTGTTCAGGCGTAATTCACCTCTTTCATATTAAGTGCTCCCACACTTATTATATATCATTTTATTTAGGGGAAAAATGGCTTTCATTTAACATCAAATATTTAGCTATCAAACATAATTTAATTTGAATAAAATATAAAAAAAGTGGAGAAAATAAGAAATGTTGTTATTTTTTTTAGTTCTACGTGACATTTTAACTGTGAATGTCATAATATGGTTTGCTTTTACTGCAATAAAATACACATATTTGTATTCGGCGCTGTCTCATGTGTAAAACAGTACCAGTGTTTGTGACTTAGTGGCTACTAAAAAAGACTGGACATACCCCATTTGCAATACCTTTGGTTGTCTACTTTTGAAAATGGTATGCCATCATGGGGGTAATTCTCATTCCTGGGCTACCATACGCTATCAAAAGCAAGATAACCAATCTGGCAAATTTCAATGTGAAAAAAAGGAAACTCAAGCCTTATATTTGACTCAGTAACTTTTGATAACACCATAAAACCTGTACATGGGGGGTACTGTTATACTCGGAAGACTTTGCCGAACACAAATATTAGTGTTTCAAAAGAGTAAAATGTATCACAACAATATTATCATCAGTGGAAGTACCGTTTGTGTGTGAAAAATGCAACATTTTTTTAATTTCTAGGGGTGCCAAATGTACGTTGGGTAACTTTGCAATAGAGATAGGCCGATAATGAATGAGTGGAGGCTGCCAGCCAGCGCATATTGAGACAGACCACCTGCAGTGTGTATCACCAGACAGAATTCATTATACCACCATACTGCCATGTGCATCCTGTCCCTAAAATATTACATAACACACCAAGCCCAACTGTAGTGCACTTCTGCCATCAATTCACACACCGCCTGCCCACAGCTGACTGCCCTTCCGCCCGCTCACCAACGTCACTGCTGCTCCCAAGCCTCGTTCTCGCTCAGAAGTGAATGGGCCGCGCACAGCTAGACCTGGCACCCAGATGCGGAAGAACACTGTGTTTGTCGACTCGGAACGCATGTGATGTAAGAAGGGGGTTTGGGAGACTGCTGTATTGTGTGATCATTAATATAATACGCCTATCCCCTCTATGTCAGTGGTGGATTCAGGATACATGTAACTATTCATTGTTATTGCCCAGTGGTGGTGCTAGCAGAGCGATGATACCAAGCAGACCCTTGCTTGGGGAGAGCTTATTGATATAAGTGCATTCTTCATCATCTTCACATATAATACAGACAGTGACCTTGTCAGTGCCATTTATTCAGGTTTTTTTTTTATCACATTGTTTTTTTGTTTTGCTGAATAGGACATAAAAGTTATTAATAGTAGATTTGCAACATTTTGGGCAATAATAATTAATAGTTACATATGTCCTGAATCCAGCACGGTTATTATTCCCAGGAAACTGATATTCCTGTACTGCGGTACGCACTGCTCCACTCAGCCACGCTACCATGAGACACACCGGGGAACGGGGACCAAGGAGGGAAGATACACACCGGGGAGCGGGGACCAAGGAGGGGAGATACACACCTAGGACCAAAGAGGGGAGAGGGACTTTAAGGGACCGGGGGAGGACGGTAAGGATCACTATGGGACAAGGGTGGTAGAACACTATGGGACAGGGGGTGGGGGTGGTAAGGAACACTATTGGGGAGAGGGTGTGGAAAGGAACACTATGGGACAAGGGGTAGGGGTGGTAAGGAACACGATGGGGGAAAAGGGGTGGTAAGGAACACTATAGGAGAGGGGGGGTGGAAAGGAACACTATGGGACAGGGGAGGGGGAAAAGAACACTATGGGACAGGGAAAGGGGGGTGAAGAACACTATGTCCTAGAAAGTTACAGGGTTAAATGTAGGGCTTGCTACCAAATTCTCTGGACTTTCTGCCTGGGTTGTCAGGCAGGTCCCTCAAATTGTAATTAATAAAATGACTTCATTATGTAAAAATATTATGTAAATATATTTATAGAATTTAAATCTATATGTATAGGGGGGTGAAGAACACTATGGGCCAGGTAAGGGGGGGTGAAGAACACAGGGGAGGGGAGGAAAGAACACTAGGGGGGGGAGAGGAACATTAAAGGAGGACACTAAGGTACAGGGAAGGGAAGGGAACACTGGGGTAGGGGACACCACTAAAAGAGAAGGGTAACATTAAAAGGAATGGGGGGGCACTAAGAGACAGGTAAGGTTGGGGGGGGGGAGTTCCTACCGCACATATTTACACACAAACACACTGCATCCACTACACAAACACACACACAGCATCCACTACCCACAATGTATCCACTACACAAACACATTGCATCCACTACACAAACACATAAATATTCTTGAAAACATACAAAAAAAACTGACTGGCATGTATATTTTGTGCATTTACCACTTAATAAAAAAAAAAAGATTTGCAAAAACAAAATACGGTAAATGTACAGAATATCGGTAAGCTATCGGCTATTGGCTTGAAAGTTCACAGATTATCTGTATCGGCTCTAAAAAAATCAATATTGGTCGATCCCTACTTTGCAAGATAACTACTAAGTAGGGATCAACCAATCTAATTTTCCAGAGCCAATGCCTATATAGATTATCAGATGACTTTCGGGCCGATACCCTATTACCAATGCCGATATTCATATGAAACCGTGATAAACTTATAGGAATTCATACCAATCATGCCTAAATATTTTTCACATAGAAACGCACTGGACACCTATTCAGAAAATCATAGCTATATACAGCACTGAGGGGGAGAATGGTTTGTGTTACATCTCACATTACAGGTACACTCTGAGCACAATCCATATCATGTTGTCCATATCACTAATGCAGACACGAGTATCAATTTTGTCCAAGTAGGAATGGCATTCATTGGCTATGGTGATGATAACTGAGGCACTGTGCCATGGGCTTGCTGGCATCATACCCACTATAGAAGGCTAGATTAATTATGGTGATTAAAATGCCAATAAATGTACTCAACCAAAACTGTAGAGGGGTTATCTATGAACCTATGAAAAACTAAAGACCAATAGTATAGCTCTACCTCTCAACATCTGTGGAGGTCTCCTGGAGGTGTTGCTTCACTGGTCATGCCCATAAAATGCTGATGGACCCTGAAAGGGGGAACGTCACCAACTGAAGGGGCATGTCAGCTTAGCGCTTACACACACCAGCTGACTAACAGCTCTACAGAGAGCCCAGCTGAGGATGTGCTGCACTGCCTGGGGATAGTCCCCTGGCATCTCCACATGTAAGACACCAGATCCAGATCCTATATCTCTTCTCAATTGATCTAGGAATACAATCAACATTTGGTGGCTGCCTCTCAACCATCAAACATCTTTTTTCCTATCAATAATCTCTTTTTTTTTTTTTTTTTTTTGGCACCACAGATAAAATTTTAAATAACAAATCAAAATGAACATGCTAGTCCATTGTGTGATTTGTTTGGTTCATGATTTGCCTACATTTCAACTCATTGCTCGGGAATTTGGACGATCACCCATTCGATCCACAATACTGTTTTGTTGTTTTTTTTCATCCCAGTTTTGCTTCAAAACTTCCAACATCTTTTTATTATCATCATCTTTTAAAATATATTCAGAATTTGATCCACTATGGGATATTTTTGAATTTCTTTCCAATTTTAATTTTATAACTTTTGTCTTCTTTTATATTTATCCTTTTTTTCCCTACCATATGAAGAAGTGTTTGTGTAAGGAGGGTTTATATCCAACTGAATACTGGTAACAAAGTTGTAAAAACACTGCTAGGAGTTTCTAATAGATTGTTATCTTAACTGCACAAAAGCTTAAAGGGACCTCTAGGCACCCTAACTACTTCATATCCCTTTAACTGACTTCTCTTGTTAAAAAACAAAACAAAACAAGATCAAGATCAAGATCACAGAATGGTTTAAAAACCATGCAAAAATGCAGTCTAAACAGTCAAGAGTTATGCCTGTTCCCTCCGAGATAAAGATAGCTTTGCTTCTTCTCCGAATTCTACGGAGGTCAGTGGGTTGACAGAGTAAAACACATATTGTGCATATTTCTGTACACAAAATGCATTCCTTTCGACTGAGGGAATTATTATAAAACCACAAGTGTTTTATAGATAACCATGTTTTAGACAGTAATTAAAATTGATCAGTTATTTCTTGTTTGTTTGGTTTTTTAATTGTTCAATTATTCATTGTTTTGCCATTAGTTTTGTATTCTACCTTTTATAGACATTCATTTGACTCTGGAGAAATATATCTCTTTTTCAGCCACTGAAAACAAGTCAAAAATATTTTCTTGTTTCTGCAAAAGTAAGTAAGAAACAAATTTACCCAATTCTGTGAGTATTATTCAGATTAAAATAATCTAAAAAGTTGAGGCTCTGGTTGGCTTGTTTTGTCTACCTTTAAAGCAAATCTGTCAGGTATGCAGACTATGCAAAGACCCCAAAAAGTGACAACTCCGCTTAAGGTCTGCTAGCCGTAGGGTGAAGTGGAAGGTAGGTATACTGCCCCAAAGCGGTGTGTCCAGGCCAGGGCCATCTTTTTCTAGGGGACAGTCTTAATCTCAGGTGTTTCAACTGCCAGGAGTTGTTTCAGTGCTGTACACACGTGCATGCAAGAGGAGGGTTTATTCCCACAGCTGTTGCTTGTGACAGCCGCTGGCATTTGACAAGAGTTGACAATGGACAACTTTTCTCAACCTCAGACTTGCCCATAAAACAAGTATCCCCTACCTTGGCTTGTGATTTCTTTGGATTGAGTCAGCATGAGTATTTAATAAAGATTATATCCAGAAGTGACAGAGCCTGTTTAACAGTGTTTATCCACTAAAGGAAGAATTGTCAGAAATTCTAATTGAATTTCAAGTTTTAGGCCAAAATAGTCAAACTAAAAAAATATTGCTGAATTGGATTTTTTTTTCCAATTTAGCTATTTTGTTCTATAATTTTAAATTCACTTTTAATTCACTTTGAATAATCAACAATACACACTTTTGTAAATAGCCTGGTTTGATGTCCCCAGACATCCTATAAAAACACAACATATAGAAACATGTGTTGTCTAATGGAATTATTTGTATAATTGATGATCCTAAGTCATATTCGAATTCAAGATATGTAATATATATCACAGTGGCAGCAGCTGTAAATACTGGGCTACAAGCTATCATTGTAGTTGGAACAGGACAAGTTCAGATGGACGAGGAAGATAAAATTTTAAGCATGCAAGAGTTGCCACAGCCAGCCTGATGATAAACAGAAAATGTAATGTGACTTAATGTATGTTTACATATACAGTGAAACTCTAACTTAATCCTTTCAAGAAGGTTGTTCAAGTTCCGATTTGTTCGAGAACCGAATCAAAATCTCTCATAAGAATTAATGTAAATTTGATTAATGCGTTTAAGAACCCCAATATTACAGCATTTTAACACAAATTTTACAGTTTAATAATACCTTACATGCATAAAATCATTTAGAAAAAAAAAATAAACACAAATTATACAGTAAATGAAAGGAAAATGTAACTTCACCTTACCTGTAATGATGAGAGTTAATGGCGTAAGTGGAAAGGAGAAGAGATATTATTGTTTGGATGGGGATAGGCAACTGTTGTTCTGGCATTTAAAATGTGTCTAAAGTGAGACAAAGCTTTATAATTGATCATGTTTGTGGCATGGTTTGTTCGGGTACCGAGGATCGTTCGTGTACAGAGAAATTTTTTGTTCGACTACCGAATTTTTCGGGTGAGGGACCATTCAAGTTTCAAGGTTCTACTGTATGTGCATATTAGAGCACTAGATATGTGTTATTAATAATTAATGGCAATTACTAGTATATACAAACATACAAAATTAAATCCTGAGCTCAAACTCCCACTACTCCTGAATGGCAGCAATGACTATAGTACACGTCAAAAAGTTATCTGCGCACTATCGCAAATCCTACAACTGGAGTTTTTTTTTAGTATCCTTAATGCCTATTCAAGTGTAAGCCCACCTGCCACGTTAAGGCAAAACCTCTTAGGTGAGTCCTACACTAAGAATTCACCTTGCTGGTTTCAGCCAAAAGATAAAATCTCAAATGAGACAGAGAGGGGCATTTTTTTTTTACCCCCCTTCACAGTTAATAAACCTATTAAGGGTTAATGTATGGCTCACCTCAGAGGGTTTGCCTTATCTTGGCAAGGGAGCTTACACTTGAATGGCCACTGGAGTGATACTAAAAAAATAAAAAAAAAATAAACTCCAGTTAACTAAATGTGCATAGGGATTTGGGGTAGTGCGCAAGTAACTTTTTTTTCTTTAGTTACTAGTATATGCTTGCATAGTAACTATAATATTTCAATATGTTTTAAAATTTTCATAACATAATATTACAAATATTGACTTCCAGTTCAGTAAGCGTACATAATGAACTGTTCCAGCAAAACATTCCACAAGATCATAATATTTTTGTTGCTGTACCCCCGCAGAAACATGCAAACTCTCTGTATTCTTTTTTTAAGTTATGCAATCCAAAGAATGCAGTGCTATACGATGCTGAACAGAATGAAAACATGTTTTCTTCCTCTTGTGCAGACCAAGCTGACTCTCCTGAAATTTCTTGGAAATCTCGGCCAATAGTGTGCTCGATCATGGGGAAGTCATTCACGGCTACATGAGTTGTGCATGCACTGTACACGGGGAGGAACAGCTGCTCACTTGACACGGAATCTCGCTGAGCCACAACATTTCATGCATATAGCTTGTGCAAAGTCAGGAGCAGGATAGTCTTAGCCCAGGGTGAGATTATGCACAGAGTGTAAACAATGGAAGATGGAATGGTGCCCGTATTGCCCAAATCAAATTAGCTGTTCTTGCATTCCAACTCATAAAATAGCAACTGCTTTCACTGTATAAGGCATATTGAAATAATAATAATAGAGAAAGGACTTGGGTTTCATTCCTTGCTGAAGTGCTCAGAATTTTAATAAGGTGTACCATTTCCTTTTCAAAGAAATCATGCTGTGTCTGTTTCTTATGAAAGCCTTAATAAAAATAAATAACTTTATGATATGCTTAACCCCTTAAGGACCAAACTTCTGGAATAAAAGGGAATCATGACATGTCACACATGTCATGTGTCCTTAAGGGGACCACTATAGGCACCCAGACCACTTCAGCTCAATGAAGTAGTCTGGGTTCCAGGTCCATCTAGGGTTAACCCTGCCTGCTGTAAACATTGCAGTTTCAGAGAAACTCCTATGTTTACATATGGGTTAATCCAGCCTGTAGTGGCTGTCTCATTGACAGCCGCTAGAGGCGCTTCACAGTGAGAAGACGCCAGCGTCCATAGGAAAGCATTAAAAATGCTTTCCTATGGACTGACAATGCGCGCGCGGCTCTTGCCGCGCATGCACATTCAGCCAATGACATCCGAAGGAGGAGGAGAGTCCCCAGCACTGAGGGAGCCCAGCACTGGAGAAAGGTAAGATTTTAACCCCTCCCTCTCCCTTCAGCCCGGCGGGAGGGGGCCCATGAGGGTGGGGGGGACCTATTAATACTATAGTACCAGGAAAACGAGTTTGTTTTCCTGGCACTATAGTGGTCCTTTAAAGGAACACTATGGCATTACGAATACAAATATGCCCTGCTACCTATTTAGGTTTTCCCTCTTCCTGTCATGTGAGGGTTTGAAAGGGGAGCTTTACTTACTTTACAGTATAGATGATCTCACCCTATTTCCTCATAGGGAAACATTGGGAGGCTTGGGCATATGAGAGGCAGAAGTGCCCTTAGTGGCTGTCAGTGTGACTGCAAAATGGCAATGTTTTCAGTTGCAGGATTAAAACTACAGGGACATGCCACCCAGACCATTTTATTGAGATTAGGTGGTCTAGGTGCCTATAGTGTAATTTAATAAAGTTAGTTTTTGGTACTATTTAAAGTTGTCTGTGATCGACTGGGGAATTTGCAGAATTCGCAAAGACACTGGTGGTCTGGTGGCCGGGCGCGGGAGTGACAGGTAAAGGTGAGCTTTACTTACCTGAACCTGTCCCTCGTGGTCTATGGGGGATCTGTGAGACTGCGGGATCCTTCATAAACAGAGCAAATTCCCTGCAACAGTCACTGGTGATGGCTGTCGGGATTGACACTGTAGCTCTGCCCAGTGTCTAAGAAGGTCAGACGGAGAAAATATACTGAGACAAAGTAGTCCCTACTTTGTCTCTTTATATCTCATGACCTGGTTTGAATTTCAGTGAAATCCTCATACAGTCAAAATGAGTATATCATAAACATTCTATCTTTATGAAATACCAATTTTTCAGGAAAGGGAGGGACTTTAACATTTCTCCATCCAGTCTAAGCGTTGGTTTGAGGTAAGTCAATAATCTTTTTTTTTTCCAGTAATGTCATTAGAAAGTTGGGGGGGTGGGGGGAGAATTTGAATGTTAGTTAACGAAAGGCCACTGCAACTTTGCATTGCAGCTTATAGCAATATATACTAAAATGCTAATAAACATATGATACAACATAGCAGTACTTACTTTGCCATCTGTAAAAGAACACTCCTGCACTATAACCAACTATGACCAGAAGTAACATGGGAAGCCAACAGGATCCAGGTAAGTGTCATACTGCCCTAAAACAGCTTGACAGATTATGCTGGGACAGCACTAGGATACACCAAGCACCATAACCATTATTGAGATCAATAGTTATGTTGCTTGGAGTGTTCCTTTAAATTGAGTCATAAACAATATAACTTGCTGGTAGTCCCACTAAATCACTACAAAATGAAAACATGGCATTATTATCATCAGTATACCCACAATTATCATGTTGTCCATCCCACTAACAAGTAATCCTGAGTAATCATGAACCATAATAAATATATAAAATAAATAAAACACAGCAGAATTTATAAGAAAAATCTGTGCTCTCTTTAACAATGGGCATAAATGCATAAATCTACCAAAATGTACACTTTAGAGTAGACACATGCCTGTGCAGAGACATTTGGTCTCTAATAATAGTACTAAGTTCATACTGAAAGTTCATTGAGTTGAAAGTGGCTGGAAGGATTAAGCTTGCACATTAGAAACAGTAAGAGAAACAGAATCAGTTCCATGTCCACATTCAACTCATTAAAAACACAATTTTAAGAATAACTTATTCCAGGCACAGGTATTTAAAGCAAACAGACTGAAGCCTTAATGATAAGCGAGCCATATGCTTGATTGAGTATAAAACATTTGCTTAGCAAGGCTGGATTTCACTTTGTCAGGAAAGAAATATAGGCTGAGCGTGATACAATAGGTACCAAAATTTAGAACTAACCCGCTGATTTGAGTATGAGCTATGCAAAAGACTACTTTAAGAATACAAGGCCACCAACATGAAGCCTTCTGCTGGCATCTGCTAAGTTACTAAATAAAGGAGGTCACTGTTTACAGCAGAATATCTCCCTTTCTCCTATTACTGTGCTGTGAAAGAAATATATTTATATAGCCAAAACGTAACCCTGCAAACAAGGACTATTTTAAGATGCAGATATATTAGTTGCTGTAAAGCTACTATTGTTCATTTGTAAAGCACCAGCATAATCAGCAGTACTGTATGCAATATACTATGCAATTACAAGTATTAATATAGCGCCAACATATTCTGCAGCTCTGTACAATAGGTACACAAGACAAATAACAATGTCAAACAAAAGACATACAGTGATCAGCCCTCAGATTAAAACCTCTAGCCTAATATCTTGTAGGTACCCCTCGTGCTGCCAAAACAGATCTGATGCACCGAAGCACGGACTCCACAAAACCTCTGAACATGACCTGTGGTATCTGACACCAAGACATTAGCAGAAGATCCTTTGAGGCCTGCAAGTTATGAGGTGGTGCCTCCATGGATTGGATGGCTTGTTCATATACATCCCACAGATGCTAAATTGGATTGAGATCTGGGGAATTTGAAGGCCAAGGCAACACCTTAAACTTTTTGTTATGTTCCTCAAACCATTCCTGAACAATTCTTGCTGTTTGGCAGGGTGCATTATCCTGCCATCAGGAAACATCATTGCCATGAAGGGGTGTGTTTGGCCTCCAACATTCTCTAGGTAGGTGGTATGTGTTGAAGTACCATCCACATGAATGCCAGGACTCCCAGCAGGTTTCCCAGCAGAACATTGCCCGGAGCATAACACTGCATCCACTGGCCTGCCTTCTTTAAATAGTGGGTTCTGCTGCCATTTCTTCCACAGGTAAATGATGCACACATACCCACCAATCCACCTGATCTGAAAGAAAACATGATTCATCAGACCAGGCAAACTTCTCCCATTGCTCCATTGTCTAGTTCACGTCCCCATTGAAGGCGCATTAGGACAGGGTCATTATGACCTGTCTGCAGCTACGCAGCCTTATACTTAGCAAACTGTGATGCACTGTACTTTCTATCATGGCCAGCATTATGTTTTTCAGCAGTTTGATCTACACTAGCTCTTCTGTGATTGGACCAGATGAGCTAGCCTTGGCTCCCCATATGCATCAATGAGACTTGGGCGCCCAAGACCCTAGTTCACGGTTTGTCATTCGTTGTACGACTTTTGGTTGGTACTAACCACTGCATACCAGGAACACCCCACAAAACTTGCTGCCTATCCATCAGGTACAGGGGAGGTCACAAGATGAGAGTTCTGTCTCTTGGAGCTCAAGCACTTACAGCACGTAGAGACTGACCCATACAAACCCACACAAACCCACAGACTGACCCATACAAACCCACAGACGGACCCATACACATACATAGACGGACCCATACACACACACTGCGCCCCCACACACAGACTGACCCATACACGCACACAGACTGCTCTCTTACACAGACTGAACCATACTTACACAGACTGACCCATACACACACAGACTGACCCCCCCCCCACACACAGACTGACACCCCCATACACACACAATGGCCCATACACACAAACTGACCCCATACACACAGACTGACCCACCCACCCCACACAGACTGACCCATGCACACACTCACACAGACTGACCCTCCACACACATACTGACCCCCTCACACACATACAGACCCCCTCAAACACACAGAATGACCCATAAACAAAAACTGACCCCCACACACAGACTGAACCATCCCCATCCCCACACACACAGACTGACCCTCCCACACAAACTGACCCCCACACAGACTGAACCCCTGACCCCCACACACACAGACTGACCCATGCACACACCCGCACAGACTGACCCCCCCACACACCCACACAGACTGACCCATACACACACATATTGACCAACTCCACACAGAATGGCCTACACCCACACAGACTGCTCTCTTACACAGACTGACTCCCACACACACACACACACACACACACAGACTGACCTACCCACACACTCACACAGACCCATACACATACTCACACATACTGACTCCCTCACACACAGACTGATCCACCCCACACAGAATGACCCATACACAAAATCTGACCCCCACACACAGACTGAACACCCAACCCTCACACACACACTGACCCCCCCACACCCATACACACAAAATGACCCCCACAGACACAGACTGAGCCCCCACCCCCACACACAGACTGATCCATACACACACAAACTGACCCCCCACACAGACTGACCCCCCTCACAACCCACACACACATAAACACTTACCAGCAGCTGCCTGGATGCTTGATGCTTCTGTGCAGAGCTGAGCTTCCTCTCCCGGTCTCTCCCCTGCGCTGCTTTCTATGACCCAGGAGAAAGTCCTCCCAGCACAGCGCCCTCTCTTGCCGCACGTGGGAAAAGTCCACCAGTAACAGTGTTGCTGCAGCTTGTGAAGGGAGACGCAGTGCTCCCAACTTCAATTTCAATTGGGGGGGCACTGCATGATGTAGGGGGGGCTGTGGCCCCTCTACCCCCCCCCCCCAGTAACGCCACTGGCTGTATACAACAGGTTTGGAACACAACTTGGGAGAAGATGCAAAGCCAGTGAACCACTCATGGACATCTGTTTCATTGTTAATGCAAATCATCAGCATGAGGTTGGTTACTGGTTTGCTTATTGAGGCTTGGTAGTGCTTGGAAAGCAAAATCCACAGACTTCAGGTGGAAGGGGTTTTCAATCACAATTTTTTTATCCACCATACCCTTTAGGGTTTTTTCTTTTATATATATATATAAAAGATGCTAGACAGCATGTATTTATTTCAGTAATTGCTAGGTCTCTCGAACCCCAGAGATTTAATGGTCTATAGTGTGTTGAAAAGCAAACAAGAATGCATGTTAACTTCCTCTCTAGGACTAGGAGCATGAGACGTCCATGCCTTCTTCACATGCTCAATGTTAGGAACTGCTGCCAATGCCAGGAACATACCAGGTGTTAAATTACAGGATCTTGAATCTTTCCTTTTACTCTGTGGCATGTTAGTTTACACAAGAGCTGGCTGCAATCGTAAACTTAAATTATCTAATGCAAATATGTCTACTGATTTTCACAATTGGTGCTCTTGTATTCAGGATTAAATGCAACATATCCTATTAATGTTATAGATTAAATTTATAATTGTACAGGTTCTTCAAAGTGGATTGTATCCCTCATTTTCCACCTTAATTTGGTACTTCTATTGCATGAATCTATTCACACTGTTCCTCCATAAATGTTGTTTTTCCAGATTTGCCCTTGATTTGTGTTTGATATTACCTGCACTGATTCTACTGAAACACTGCTATGTCCCCATGTTAAAGAAGCCCTGTCACACTTCCCCCACAAATTGAGTATTTCATAAAGATAAAATATTTATCAAATACTCATATTGACTGTATTTCACTGAAATTCCAAGCCAGTCAAAAGATATACTGAGAAAGTTGGGACTACTTTGTCTTAGCAGTGTTTCTTACGCCTGACATTTCTTGACACTGGGCAGAGCTACCACTGTCAAGAGGTGTCAACCCCCCACCAGTGATGACCGCAGGAAATTGGCTCTGTCTATGGAGACCGCGGGATACTCCATAGAACACAATGCTGTAATCTCACACATCCATACATGAGAGTACAGCCGTGACGTCACCTCCTGGCACTGAAGCACCAGGAGCAGAAAAGGATCAGTCAGAATATGATGTAGGCGCCAACAATGGACAAGTTCAGGTAAGTTAAACTCCCCTTTCTTTGTCCCCCCATTGGGCACCAAAACCCCAGCGGCTAAGTCACTGTACGGGGTCTTTGCAAATTCAACAAAGTGACAGTTCCACTTTAATGATGAGGTTTATGTCCTAGAAAAGATTATGCCATCAAGTATTTCTGTTTTCTATTACATAATGTTTTATACATGATATGGTGGCCCTATGTGAAATGGTAAGCTGCAATGATTCAACCATCCACAGTTTAAATGAAAGGAAAAGGCCATACATTCAATTCTACAAAACAATGATGATGATGATGATGACAGTGAATGTGCTCATTAAGTATATAAACTTCAAGGAACACTCCAACTACAATAACAGTTATAGCCGGCTGCAGTGGTTATAGTGCCAGGAGTGCACTGGCACCATGCCGCAGTAATATGTCAAACAGCTTTATGGCGCGACAGCTTAGTTGGGTCACACGGGGTGCTCGTGGCTACATCTGCTACATTTAATCTTCTCTAGCAGGAGATGCTGGTTTACTCTATAACCAATTACTCCATGTACACTTTCTAAACAAAATCAAATAAGACTGTTAGCAACATTGTTATGATCATTAACCCCTTAATATTCCGTCATGATTCCCTTTTATTTCAGAAGTTCACCTTTGAGGGGTTTAGTGGTGTCTCCAGGATTCATACGGGGGGGGGAAAGGGGGACTGACGGACACAAAAGTAGGGGGGCAGTTACAAAAGTAGGGGGGCAGTCGTACACACACATATTATATACACACACATACATACACAGGGATCGACAAATTTCAGGCGCCATGGCTCCTGGAATTTGTCAGCCCTTTGCTGAGCCGGGCAGGAAACATTAAAGCAAGCTGCCACTGGAAGCATCGAGGCGGCACATAAGGGAGCAGTAACCTTCCTGCAGTTCCTCTCTGCTCCCTTGCGCGCTGTTTAGTGACATGACATCACTCCGGCTCCAGCATCACTACAGAGAGCACGCATGGGAGCAGAGAGAAACTGCAGGAAGACTGAGAGGAGACACACTGGACATCAGGGAAAGATCCATTCAGCTCTCCCAAAGGTAGGCTGGGTGGATTTTAATTAAAATAAGTATAGCAATTTGTGAGTGCGTGAAAAAATGTGTGTGTGTGCTGAAATGGCCTGTAAAGTGTGTGCGTGTGCATCTTGGGGCTGCATTGTGAGTGTATGTGTATTGGGAATGCATTGTGTGCTTATTAAGGAGCTGTAATTATTATATATAGGGAGTGTTCTGTATGTAGGGGGCTCACTCTCTGTGAGGGGGTGTAGAGAGTGGGATGGGGAAGAGCTTTACAATTTTTACTTTAATAATTGTTTTAAAAAAAAAGAAAAAAGAAAAAGAATATTCCCCTTTCCCCTCATCTTACCTTGCAGGGAGGGGGTGGCTCAATCAGATTTGTGGTGGTTGAGAAGGCTGCCTATCCATTGGGTACAGGGGAGGACACAAGATAAGAGGTATCTCTCTTTGATCTCAACCACTTACAGAGACTGAACCATACAAACCCACAGATTGAATTGTACACATACACAGACTGACCCACCCCACACAGACTGACCCATGCGCACACACACACACACACACACACACAAACTGACCCCAACACACAAACTGACCCACCAACACACAGACTGACCCCCACACACAGACTGAACCCCACACAGAGACTGACCCCCCCACAAACACAGACCATACACACACAGACTGACCCCCCCCACCCATACATCCATAGATGCAATGCTGCAATCTGTAAACAAGACCTTTTAACTGTAAAGCCATCAGACATTTTTTTAAACTATATTTATACCCTCAGCATTGGGTATCAGCCATACCCAGTAACGGTTAACAGGAGATGTCATACTGAACTGTGTACACTTCAAATAATTCCCCAGATTACCTAATTCATAGTGGTTTCACTTTGCTGCATCAGCTGAGCGTACACAATACTGTGCGCGGAGTCTTTGGGAAATACCAATTACATCAAATATATTGTGAAATACATTGTTTGCAGAAATACATTAGTTTCATTTTGGCTCAAATGCTGACTTTTTTTTTATATATATATATATATATATATATATATATATTTCTATTTTCCTAGAATGTAATTCATGGGACATAACATTTTTTTTTGTTTCTTTTTGTTTTAGAAGACACCTAGAGCCTAAAGGTTTTCTAAAGAAATCTCTAAAGCTCCCTTCTCACACAACTCGGTACATGTCGGCACATTACTTTGTTTTGCTCGCAAATGTATATAACAGGAGAATAACCTATTTAAAGGCACAGTATAGTGTTAGAAATACAAAGCTGTTTTCCTAACACTATAGTGTCTCTTTGCAACCCCATCTCTTGTGGCATCAGTTAAAGGGTTGAAAATTATTTAAAACATTTACCTGATACCAGCACGGGAGTGTGTGCATTAGGCCTTAGCCATAGGAAAGCAGTGAATCAATGCTTTTCTATTGGGTTATTCAAGATGCTTTGTATGAAGACGTCCAGCGTCGTTTCACAAAGTTAAACTCTGGGAAACAGCAGGAAGCATCTCTGGTGAGATGAAGGCAGTTTTATAGAGACACTGTCAGCCCCGCTGAAAATTGAATATTTCATAAAGATATAAAATACTCATTTTGACTATGCTGTCAATCTCGACAACCGTCACCAGGGTTTTTTGCAAATTCAGCAAAATCGCTAAACGGTAACATTGTCACTTTAACTCTGTAAAATAAACATTGCAGTTTCTCTGGTTCTGGGTGCCTAAAGTGTCCGTTTATAAATAGTTTTTTTTTCTACTACCTGTCAATCAATTCTTCAGCATAGACTCTATGCCAATTAATTGTTTGATAAAGAGGAGCAGAAAAGACCACCCACAGGCAGTCCTTCTGCTCTCCACCCATAGCAACCACAGCGCGTGGTAAATTCTGCTACCGCTGTCTGCTAGCACTGGCAATAGGAACTGCATCATGGAGGAGGTTTACCCTGCTTGGGGATATGTACACAAGCACGGCAAATCAATGAAGAGACAGGTCAGAGCACGGGTGGACCAGAGGTAGGTGTTACAGAAGTAATGAGCTTGTGGTGGGAAAGCAGAGTGCCAGGTATGTGGTGACAGATTCCCTTTAACATTTTAGCCAACATCCAGTATTTAGGTTATCCAGGCCCATTTTGGCCGATTTTTAATAAAGCAAGTCATGTGCACTGTTTAGTAGACCTGTCACATCAGGTTGTTTATGTATACAGTTAGTTTGTAAATAATTTAAGTTTCTGTTGCAATCATTTCTTCCTCTTTTTTTCCTAATTTTCTATCTAGTCAGATTTAAAGGGAGAGAGGCTTACTACAATTTTCCTCCTTATATCCCCTTCTTACCAGTCTATGCGAAGACCATCCATGCTGAGTTAACACACCCTTTGACTCTGTATTAAGCACATCACTTGACAGACGTATATCTTTGTACATATATTGGTACTATCCTGCAATTACTATCACAACATCAGAAGTAACACATGCTAGTATTATCGATACTATTGGCATAATTACTTTGATTATTATTTTGATCCACATACTGTGATGATCTTTTCTCAAATCTGACTAATATACATACAGTATCTACCTTACACTGGATCTACTTTTTACCAATAATTAAGCCAGTCATGTATACTGTGTGGTAGACCTGTTTCACCTAATATAGGAATAGCCTTACAAGGCTAAGGAATTTATGTATAGAGCCATTTTGCTTATAAGTTTTTGTTACATTTGTCTCCACCACAGAGATCACACCATTACTTTAGATACTGGTATATATCCAGGGAGCCCTCTCCTCACTTATGTGAGAAGATTTTGGCTTATTCTTTTTTCCTTTTTCCAGTATTTAGGTTAACCTCTATCTTTATTTGATTAATTTGGGACACTTGCCCCATCATTTGATACCTTGGATACTAATGGACAGCATTTATCTATGTATTTAAACTAAATTACAAATATCAGGAAGGACTGAAGAGAAGGTAATTGCTCTAATTTCCTTATCAGAGTTCTTTGGATATTTACCCACTGTGAATTTAATTAAACCAATGAGATTTACGGGAACCCTATTTAGATGACTTTTCTAATTAAAATTTAGTGTGCTTGACTATGTTAACTTGATGAATAGGCTAGAGTAGGGGTTCCCAATTTTTTTTTTCCATGGAACTTTGACATAGTGTATCAACATCATGGAACCCTCTCTCCCCCAGAAAAAAAATTGTGCCTTTGTGTGTCAATGCTTGTATATGCCAGTGTGTGTATCTGACACACAACACAGAGACACACTGGCACATAGTGGCACGCAGATACACACACCTTGACACACAGTGTGTGTGTATGTATGTATCTGTATGTCAAAGTGTGTGTATCTGTGTTTGTATGTGTCTGTGTATCAAGGTGTGTGTATCTGTGTTTGTATGTGCCAGTGTGTATGAATCTGACACACAGATATACATACACTGGCAGATAGTGACACACAGATATACACACAGTGTGTATCTGTGTGTGTGTGTGTGTGTGTATATGTATCTGTGTGTCAAAGTGTGTGTATCTGTGTTTGTATGTGCCGGTGTGTGTATCTGTGTCATTGTGCACATAGTGGCACACAGATACACACTGACACAGATACACACTGACATACATCTTGACTCACAAATACACACAAACTCAGAAACACACAGTGACATATACACACACACTTGCACCCACAGATACACACTGGCACATACACACACTGACATATACACACACACACAGGCACATATACACACTTAGATACACACAGTGACACACACTGACACACACAGACACACAAACTCTCTGACAGACACACATACAAACACATACACTCACTGACAAGAACAGATATATTCTCACTGACAAACACATACACTCTCACACACTCACTGACAAGCACACACTCACTCTCACTGAAAAACCACACATATACTCTTTGACAAACATACAAACACATACAAACTCCCTAACAGATACAAATACAATTTTTTTTATTTATTTTTTTACAGTTTGCTCCAACTAGCCCCCTTACCTTTGTGCTGGCATGGAGTCCCTGGGGTCCAGTGGGGCTGCTGAGTGGCTGGCGTGCTGAGTGTGCAGTCCCTGGGGTACAGTGGGGCTGATGAGCGGTTGGAGTTCCACCAAAAGGTTTAAAAATAAAATGGTGGGTGGCGAGGTAGTAGTGATCTCCCTGCTCAGCTCCCTTGCGCGCCTCTTAGTAATACCGGAGCCTGAGTGACATCATATTCTGGCTCCAGCAACCCTGCTGGGCGTGCAAGGGAACTGAGCAGGGAGATTACTGCTCACTGCTCCCTCACCACCCACCATTTTATTTTTTAAACCTTTTGGCGGAACTCCAATTGGTGTTCCGCGGAACGAACACCAATTGGGAAACGCTGGGCTAGAGGCCTTCCATACCAAGGTCTACCACGTTTGCTAGTGGAATAAATATTCTTAACATTACAGGGACACATCTCATTGTAGTGGTCGTCAAACATGTACATTAGTTTTCAGACAAATTCAATTTCATCAGAATTTGGGTTAATTAATTAATTCGTCAGAAACACAAATGAATAAATCACAATATAAGCAGTAAACTGTAGTGGTTATGGTGCCCCCCCAGTGTAACTTACTGGCTTTTTACATGGTCTTCTTCTGCTATGGAGAGCTGGAAGCTACACCCTGCAATGTAGGGCAAACTCATTGCCTGTGAGAGTCAGCTGATTGCTCTCCGCCAATGAGCTAAGCCCCGCACAGCTGCTATAAGCAAATGGTTTGACATTACACTGGGGATTGACAGGGTACTCCTGGCACCATAACCACTACAGTGTTTCTATTTATCCTACCCATTTAGTTGTAGAGAGGGTAAAAAGGGAACACAGTCAATGTTAATATACCACATTGATAAATGAGATCAATGATTGACTTAGAGCATCAGCTGACCGTCCCAGCCTGGGGGAACCTGGAGATTGGCGCTGGAGGCAACCTTTAGGGTTAAACCATTCGAGAACGGTTTAACCCTTTATGGTAAGAGTGCACCCGGGACCCTCCTGGCACCATAACAACATAATTTAGATGACGTTATGGTGACTGGAGTGTCCCTTTAAGTGTGCAGCATCCACTATCTGCACAATATTCACTTGTGTAACTTGTTCTGTATTACTTGTAACTCTGCACATGGCATATCGAGTGGAGAGTTGGGTAGGACTAGTTCCTCTCGTTGGGGAAAAGTAGTTCTCCTTAAAACCCACATTCATTTACTTAATTTTTGCCAGCCCAAAATAACAGCAGCCATCAGGCGGTTTTGAATGATAAAGCTAACTGAGGCAATCTTTGTACATTATAACGTTGCTGGGAATACAGCTCAAAGCAATAAAATCAGTTTACTCTGAATTTAGTAATTCTGATATAATTGAGCTCTTAACTGTTCTCATTAAAATATTTAACTGAATGGTCTTACCAGGGGTTAAAATAAAGGCCAGCTGTTGCACAAGTGCAAAATCTGATTAACGCACAATTGAGGTGTGATAATTACTGTGTTAATTAGCATTTTCCATTAGTTCCCTTCCCAAGAAATTGCACACGCTGCTTAGTGTTCCAGGATTTAGCACGCGTGAGAGAAGCGTTTGGAATACTTCTTGAAATATACTTGAAATATAGAAACATGGCAAGATGACTGCAGTCCAAAAATACACCCAATTCTCGAGAAACAAGTGCTGGAAATTTACAGCAGATGTAGTAAGGTAATAGTTTTATTTAACTGAGAAAATAAATCTCAATGGACAGCAGACAGGGAAATTCTGACCAATGCCACTTAACTTTCTCTAATCCTCATCCATGTGTCTTACAAAGGAAATTAAACAGAAACTTTAAGCAAAAATAAAGTTATATGGAGTCCTGCAGGTCTAGGTCAATGGTGGTGAACGTTTCCAACTCATGTACTAGATCTGCAGAAAAGTAATCGAACTAACTATTTTCCAGAACCAATATCTACATCTTATGGTACACTACAATATTATATATTACAATAAAGGATCCAGGGCACATGTTTGTATTCCACTGTGTACTCTCCAGATACACACTGACACACAGATATACACACACACATATACACACACAGTGACACATTCACACACCTTGACACACAGATACACAAACTGGCATATACACACACAGATTCACACACATTGGCAGATACACACACACACGTTTAACTTACCTTTTTTCTTCCTTTAGTGCTGCAGGCTGCTGACTGAAGATGGTGTGCCAGGTCGACAGCTAATCACTTCCCGCTGCGCTCCCGCTCTCCCTCAAGCCGGCGGGTTCTGTCTGGGAGGAAGTGCTGTCACTTCCTCCCAGCATCCCATACAACAGGGGTCCGGTTGCGGTCTTAGACTCCTGTTTAGCGATACCCATCGGGTGGCCCTAAGTGCTTGGGCCACCCAACAGGCAAATCGCCGCAAACCCAATTTTTGTTTGGAACACTAATTGGGAAATGCTGCTCTAGTGCATCCTCCTAAATCTTAATAAACTTATCTCACTGGATTTGCCAGTACTTAGAGTCCGTCTCAGACTGTGGTGACATGTTTTCTTCTACTTCATGCAGATTGTGGAATTGCAATAAGTAAGGCTGGCAGAGGAAGACATCAGTAAGGTGATGTCCTGTATTTCTCTAACCACCAGCTAATAGGTGTTATAAGCGCATAAACATTAGCACAAGCATCAGGTTACGTGATGATGATTTATGTCATGTGTGCCATAATCACGGCAATTCAGTGACAACATTTTTGGCATATTTAACTAAATTCATTATATTCCAAAATTGCAAACCCATTGCTTAACTGATCTGACAGAGCTGCACACTGAAGCTTTTTTGAATTGGTCTGAATGGCACAAAACACTGCACATGAATAGCTCAGGAATTGCACAGGAATGCATTCTCAACTAATTCCTATTCTATTCACTAAATAAATAAATATAAGCAGGCCAGGAACAAAACAAAAATAAATATATAAACAAACAAACAAATAAATAAATTGAACAAAACAAATAACATTTACAAAAATAAGATCATATAAGTACATGAATGAAACAAAACATCCAGATCCTTTAATAGACTCGAATGACCCAGTATTATAGAGCATTTATGCCCTTACCTAGACACTGGTGTGAGATTAATTAAAAAAAAATTGAATTGCCTTTACACTGGGGGGCCTGCTTGTTTCACCATCCACTCACCCTATGCACAGTGAGGTATTGGGGTCCAATATATCCCCTGTGAACCCTGAGATAACCACGACTGCCTCATATTCCCTCAATAAAATGTCTCTGCTCTAATTCCATGCAGGACTTCCCATCTACAGTCAGTGCATGTCTCCCAATTGTCCCAATTTCTGCAGGACAGTCTCGATTTTCAGGTCTTGTTCTGCCCTCTAGACTTGAGAACACAAGGGAATTGTCCCCAACAATCATAGCACAAGAACATCATACGACGCGCTCACATATGTTCAGGGCATTATGACACTGCAGGGAGCAATAAGGGCCTGCCCTCAGTGGGCTGGCTAGATTGATTGGCAGGCAGCCTGGTGTGTATTTACACCAGACTGACCGGCCAGTAATGTGGGTGGACACGCTTCCTTCCCTGGCAGGTCTGGCTCAATTCCATGCAGGTCAGCCTCCTTTTCGTCAGAGCTTGTGCCATTGCATCACTGTCCTGCCCTATTTACCCTCTCCCACTTGTGGCCTGATTTTGAAACCGCCAATGTTTGGAGGTATGCAATAAACTACCAATCCCCTTAACCATGCAGACAGGTGGTAAAGTAATTTCACTGTAGAACATATTTATCAAGGATTTTTGGGTACACAGGTAAAGATGATATTGGCGGCCCCCCACCCCACCTACCCAAAAGCATCTTCACCTGTGTGCCTCTTAACCCACATTTTGTTTCTGATCCCCTTTTTAAAATGTCTTACCCCCTTTAGTGCATCTTATCCCCTATTTTTCCCCTTTGTGTGTTTTACACCTCCCTTGTGTATCTCTTACAACCCCCCTTTGCGTGTCTCCTTCTCTCCCAGCCCCTTTGTGTCTTTTACTTATACCAGCTCTTTTGTATTTTTCTCTTTCACCACCAACCCCTCTGTGTATCTTTTTCCTCTTCTCCTGCCCCTCTGTGTTTCTTTCACTCCCAGCCCCTTTGAATTTCTACACCCAGGCCATTCTGTGTGGCGTTTTCATCCCCAGCTCCTCTGTGAACTTTCTCACCCCCAGGCCCATCTGTGCTTCTTTCTCCCGCCTCATGTCCCTCTCTGTGTATTTCTCCCCACTCAAGCCCTCCCCTGTGTTTCTCTCTCCACCCTCCATGTCCAATAGTGTTCCTCCCCCTTCCCATACCTGTCTCTTAGGGCCCCCCCATTCCCCTTAAAGGACCACTATAGTGCCAGGAAAACATACTTGTTTTCCTGGCACTATAGTGCCCTGAGGGTGCCCCCACCCTCAGGGTCCCCCTCCCGCCCGGGGAGAGAAAAGGGTTAAAACTTACCTTTTTTCCAGCGCCGGGCGGGAGCTCTCTCTCCTTCCTTCGCTGACGCACGCTGCAAGAGTTGCTACAAGATTTCAGGTGTTTCAATGCTTTTCTATGAAGTTATGCTCTTCTCACTGTGATTTTCACAGTGAGCACCTCTAGCGACTGTCAATGAGACAGCCACTAGAGGATTTGGAGGCTGGATTAATTATAAACATAGCAGTTTCTCTGAAACTGCTAAAAAAAAAAGGGTTAATCCTAGAGGGACCTGGCACCTAGACTAGTTCATTAAGCTGAAGTGGTCTGGGTGCCTAGAGTGGTCCTTTAATGTACCCCCCCCACCTGTGTTCCTTTTCCTTTCCCTCCCCTGTACCTTAGTGCCCCCCTTTAATGTTCCTCTCCCCTCTTTTTTAGTATTCTTTCCCCCATAGTGTTCTTTGCCCCATCCCATAGTGTTCTTTCCCCCTCTACCCTGTCCCATAGTGTTCTTTTCCCCCTCCCCGTCCCATAATGTTCTTTCCACCTGGCCGGACTGACAGGAAGTGCTCTCTCAGTGAGCACTTCCTTTCAGTCCAGTTGGGTACCTGGCAGAAGAGAGCGCTGTGCGCCCACATCCTGACGGTCACTCCAATCTAGCTCCCCCGGGCCAGTGCGTCCTAAGGCAGACGCTTGTCCCGCCTTATGGACGTGCCGGCCCTGGTCTAACCTGAGGCACTAACTGAGAGATCAAGGTAGTCAGGGCTGTAAGTTACAAGCCTGCTGGAAAGGCTGGGTTATAAACCAGCATGGTTAGAGGGAATGGGAAGAATAATGGTCCCCATGGTTCTGTTATGCAGTTTCAAATATCAACAATATTTAATGTCTTCCCAGTGCTATTCCTAGAAACCGATATTCAGTATGAACTAGGAGCAAAGTAGATGCATTTTGTAGGCTCTAACTGCAGCTCTGATTTTTTTAAAGTTTGCTACTACGGATTCAGCAGGATCTCCATGTCGTAGGCCTCTTCAGAATGAAAGGGGCAATCTAAAACCCGTAACGATTAGAGCTCTTTCTAGATAATTTGAATAGATTGAAAAAAATTACACTCTCCTGGTGCATACGATGCTCTGCTGCTGTTAACGAAAATTGGGCCGCAACGACAGACTGAGATGGTTGGCCGGGCTCTTGGCCTACTATTGACATGCCAAGTTGGAAAAACGAATGCACAAGATTAATAACCAGAGGGATGGAACCCACTCTTTGCAATAACCCCTACAATGAGCTTTAGTTGATATGGTACTTAGCAAAGCACTCAGACTATTTTCCTTGTTTCAGTTAGATGAGTGAAGGGAGTAAATTTACAAATCAATTAGCCAACATCAATTTCCTGCAGCACATGTGCAGCTACCTCTGGGTGTGCTTCCTGTCACGAAGTTCAGAGAACACCAATGTTACTATGTAAACATGACAACACAGTTGTTTGACATCAAATTATATTAAATGTTTGTAATGTTAATTTAACCAGCATGAATTTTATTGCCCATTTAGCAACTGTAATTATTGAAAAGATAGCACACCTTGATTACCTGACTTTGATCACTACCTTAAGCGAAAAATTACACGCTCAAAGGTGTAACTGATTAAAAATAAATCATTAAGTGTATCCCCCCTCCATGGTACAGCCTTTTTTACGGTAAGTTATGCAGATGATCACTTTGGCTTCAGGTAAATTTTTAAAACTCTAAACATACCTTCTTCCTTTGTGAAAGATGAAACTTAATTATTTTCCATATAATTAATTGTGGTAACTGTCCAACTGACTAAAATTTTAATTTGATGCCATACAAAACGTAAACAATAAATCTCCCAACTCATTTAGTCATGTTCCTGATTTAGCCATAATGTTACATTAATTAATAAATTAAATGAATTTGCTAATCAGTTACTAGAACTCCCCAAAACAGAGTGGTTTTAATATTAAATACTGAATTCTAGAAAACTGAGAACCGATTTTCAAAATCTAGGCGTAAATTTCCAATTCCTACATTCTAACCCAGCCATAGTCACAGCTTGGCTATCTAGTCTGAAATCTGCAATTTTGTTTTTAATTTACCACAATTCACTGTGTAGAAAATAAAACCCTACTATACTGTTATTATTATTCCAGTTTAAGGAACATGCCTATGTATACTTTGAACTGTTTTATTGCATACGTATTACATGGCCACATTTTTACCCTATAACCGGATGGACTCTTTGTATCTCGTGTGCTGTATGACTGGCCACATAAATACTTTGAATGCAAAGAATTGCAATGTATTGCATGTTTAACTCCTTAAAGGACCACTATAGTGCCAGGAAAACATACTCGTTTTCCTGGCACTATAGTGCCCTGAGGGTGCCCCCACCCTCAGGGTCCCCCTCCCGCCCGGCTCTGGAAAGGGGAAAAGGGTTAAAACTTACCTTTTTCCAGCGCTGGGCGGGGAGCTCTCTACCTCCTCTCCTCCTCCGTTCCTCCTCCTGGGCTGAATGCGCACGTGCGGCAAGAGCTGCGTGCGCATTCAGCCCGTCGCATAGGAAAGCATTTACAATGCTTTCCTATGGACGCTTGCGTGCTCTCACTGTGAAAATCACAGTGAGAAGCACGCAAGCGCCTCTAGTGGCTGTCAATGAGACAGCCACTAGAGGATTAGGGGGAAGGCTTAACCCATTCATAAACATAGCAGTTTCTCTGAAAAATGCACACAAAAAAAATGCATAATAAAAGTACCAAAATGTCTCAGTTGTTAATGTATGGAAACTGGGAAACAAAACTCAGTTATTAAAGGACCACTCTAGGCACCCAGACCACTTCAGCTTAATGAAGTGGTCTGGGTGCATTTTTTTTTTGTAGGTTTTTAAAGGGATACTTGATCCCATTGAAATGGTCTGGGGGCACTCTCTGAAACTGCTATGTTTATAAAAAAATGGGTTAACCCTAGAAGGACCTGGCACCCAGACCACTTCATTAAGCTGAAGTGGTCTGGGTGCCTAGAGTGGTCCTTTAATAACTGAGTTTTGTTTCCCAGTTTCCATACATTAACAACTGAGACATTTTGGTACTTTTATTATGCATTTTTTTTGTAGGTTTTTAAAGGGATACTTGATCCCATTGAAATGGTCTGGGGGCACTCTCCATGTCCCCTTAACCCTGCAGCTGCAAATTTTTAGAGAAACTGCAATATATACATTGCCGGGTTAAGACTGCCTTTGCTAGCTGTCTACCAGATAGGCACCAGAGGCGCTTCCTGCTGTTTCACATAGTTGAACTATGTAAAATGACGCTGGACGTCCTCATGCTTTGTATAAGGACGTCCAGCGTCTTCAAAAACCCCATGGGGATGCATGTGCACTTAGTTCCCGAATCGCCATGTTGTCACCAGAGGAGGACCTTTACCCAATTCCAAAAGACATCAGTGCTGGAATCAGGTAAATTTAAAAAAAAGTGTTTTTAACCCTTTATGTGCAGCCTCAGCCACACTGCACCCTCAGACACACACAATGCCCCCTCACACACGCAGCACCCTCAGACACACACTGCACCCGTCTTACACACACTACAGCCCGTATGCACTCACTCGCTACATCCCCTATACACACTCTTCCCCCATACACACACTCTCTACAGCCCCTAGTCACACATTACACCACAAACACGAATGAAATTGACCTATTTACACAATACCAAACCACAATCAGCTCACTTAAAACACACGCAATCCAACAAGCAGGCTCCAAACACATGCACGATATGCTTTCCTGGCCCTTTTGTCCTCTGGTATCCCACTTATGGAGACACCAGAGACAAGTTAAACACAGCGCAAGCATGTTATTAAATTTGCTTGCGCTGCACTTAACAAATACAGGGCTTTTTTCTCATGCTAGAGCTCTTCAGCAGGGCTCTGCGCATTGAACCAACATGCTCACTTTGAGAGGGGACGTGCTTGTCATTAGTGATGACAAAACACACCCTCTCTGACCCCACTCCCTTCTCAGGGGCTGCTGTGATTAAAAAATGTCCGGGCCGAATATTTTTAACACTCCGGCCCTGCTTGTGAGGCTTCTAACACAAGCCTGGTGCATACCAATCACAATAAGTAATGAGTAAAGTGGCAGCCTCGGTGATAAGTCAGGAATTTATTCTGGTGTAATAAGGTGTAATAAGGGATTTGTCAATAAGTGGATGCAATGAAGACCAAAAAACTATCTTTTGTCCTGATACACATAACCTCTTGTAGATTAGAAACTCAACGAGCCATCTCTTGACTTTGAAAGAGATCCACGTTTTATATTCTAGGCTCACAAGCAGTTCTCATTTTCTTTTGAATTGCTATGTCTACATATATAATTGCTATGTATATTTGTGCCTGTTTTTAATCCTTACCTGTCAGCAAAACACTTCATTTAAAGCACTGAAAAAAATCTAATTAATGTCAATAATAAAATTCAGATTGATGCTGTTGAATAAATCTTGTTGCTCAATTTTTCAGACAGTTTATTCACAATCAGACTGTACCCAGAAAACAAACAACACAAAAAATGAGTAATTTCTGTTTATGACTGAAATGTTACTTCTTTTGTGGTGAAAATTAGGAATACAATGCATCCACAGTCCCTACACTAGCAGCCTGGCCTATTATCTGTGAGTTACTGTCTTCCTAGCATGTGACTAGTTTTGGCAAATTGGCCGGTTAAGCAATACTTTAGCCATGGCTGCTGGCCTTGAGTAGTGGGAGTTTAAGCAAAGGGTGTGTGTGTTTTACATGCTTTTCTATTACACAACCATTTTACAAGCGGATGAGCCTTCAAGGAAGACAGGAAATTGCCCCTGAGTCACTAACATACAGGGTTTGTGGACTAGAGCAAGAGGTGCATTGAATTGTGTTTTGGCACAATGACACAGGCCTTTAGCCGCAGGCTAGTATTATGTAGGGCCTTTGTTTTCTCAGCACAGTATGGGTGTGTGCATGGGCTGGTGTCTCCTAATCTGAGTGTTCTCCAGGTCTAAATTGACCCACTAGGATATTTCCTGGTGGACTGCTGTATTTAGGGTTAAACAAGCAGCCAAACTATGTTTAGTATGACTCATGTCCCAAGAGGTGTTTACCAGTGGCTGCAGGGTGAGAAGTGATAATGCTCATGACATTCATAGCACAATGCAATTGTCATTGGTGTCAATGGAGTTGCAGATATGCACAGATCTCTCTTAAATAATGTGTCGTGCTGTGTAGGCCATTTTGTGTTAAAAAAAGACAACTGCTCATTTGTCCTTGCCCCCCAGGCCAAAATCTGCAAGGCCTCCCCTGCATATTACAATTCTGCTGCCCACCCCAAGCGTACCTTTCTCACACAGTTTTCTGAAAGGGGAGCTAGTAATAGGCTGGCCTTCACAACTTTTAGGTTAAAATATACAAACAATGTTTAGCCCCTTAAGGGAACACTCTGTAACCAGAAAAACTTCCTCTAAATGAAGTTGTTATGGTACCAAGAGGCCTTCGGGAACATACATACCTATAAGGGTTAAAGCATTCTTAAACGGTTTAACCCCAAAGTGAACTTCCCACGTTGATCTCAACTCCCGCCAGACAGCATACTGCTTCTGAATTCTTAGTTTCATGAAGCGCAGTATGCCGCTGGGCCACCAGGGTCCTTTTTCAATCCAGTTTTATGAATGGCAAGTCACTGACTGGCTGAAAGTGACATCTGTCTGCTCTCAGCTAATCAGCGTGATTCCTGAAATGCAGCCACCTGGGGGAAGTTGAGATCAAAGCTGTATTCTCACTTAGGGGTTAAACCTTTCGAGAGTGGTTTAAACCCTTGAGGTAACAGTGCGTCCGGGCGTCTTCTGGCACCATACAATTTTATTTAGATGAAGTTGGTATGGTGCCTAAACTGTCCCTTTAAAGTAAGCTGGTTCTTTTTAGTTTTGTCTGTTTTTATTCATTAGATGAGCACATGGTCTCAGAAGGAGTCACCGTTTTTAGTAGGTGGGCCAATGATGGTCATGGGCTTACAAATTCAGCAGAACTGTGAAGGTGAAGGGATTGCATGTTTCAGGGGCTCAGCATCTCAGATAGGACATGGTAATTTGCAACAGGGTTGATGTTCCAAGAGGGATAAGGCAAATTGCAAATGATTTAGATAAACTAGAAAAATGGTCAGAGTTGTGGCAACTGACATTTAATTTGGATAAGTACAAGATAATGCATCTTGGATGTAAAAACCCAAGGGTATAGTACAGAATATTTGATAGAGTCCTAACCTCAACAGATTACTTAAAGGACCACTCTAGGCACCCAGACCACTTCAGCTTAATGAAGTGGTCTGGGTGCCAGGTCCAGCTAGGGTTAACCCATTTCTTCATAAACATAGCAGTTTCAGAGAAACTGCTATGTTTATGAATGGGTTAAGCCTTCCCCTATTTCCTCTAGCAGCTGTCTCATTGACAGCCGCTAGAGGCGCTTGCGTGCTTCTCACTGTGATTTTCACAGTGAGAGCACGCCAGCGTCCATAGGAAAGCATTATGAATGTTTTCCTATGTGACCGGCTGAATGCGCGCGCAGCTCTTGCCGCACGTGCGCATTCAGCCGACGGGGAGGAGAAGAGGAGGATGAGAGCTCTCCGCCCAGCGATGGAAAAAGGTAAGTTTTAACCCCTTTCCCCTTTCCAGAGCCGGGCGGGAGGGGGACCCTGAGGGTGGGGGCACCCTCAGGGCACTATAGTGCCAGGAAAACGAGTGTTTTCCTGGCACTATAGTGGTCCTTTAAAGGTAGGCAGTCAATGTAATAAAGCAGAAGGAAATGCTAGCAGAATGCTTGGTTGTATAGGGAGAGGTATTAGCAATAGAAAGTGGGAAGTGCTCATGCCATTGTACAGAACACTGGTGAGACCTCACTTGGAGCATTGTACGCAGTACTGGAGACTGTATCTCCAGAAGGATATTGATACTTTAGAAAGAGTTCAGAGAAGGGCTACTAAACTGGTTCATGGATTGCAGGATAAAACTTACCAGGAAAAGTTAAAGGATCTTAACATGTATAGCTTGGAGGAAAGACGAGACAGGGGGGATATAAGAGAAACATTTAAATACATAAAGGGAATCAACACAGTAAAGGAGGAGACCATATTTGAAAGAAGAAACTACCACAACAAGAGGACATCGTCTTAAATTAGAGGGGCAAAGGTTTAAAACCCCTTCCAGGGCCGTCTTTAGCGCGGGGCAAACGGGGCAGCTGCCCCGGGCCCAGTTGCTCCTGGGGGGGGCCAGAGCAGGCTGGGAGGAAGTGAGTACCGCGTGTCACTTCCTCCCACCGGAGATAGCCGCGCGGGAGGAGGAAGGCAGGGAGGAGGGGAGTTCCAGAGAAGAACTCCCATCTGCCTCAGCCTGCCATTGGACCCCAGGGAAACCACCCTCCATAAAAAGGTAAGAACCTGGAGGGTGGCTAAATGTATGTCTGTATGTGTGTTAGTATGTCTGTGTTTGTGTGTTAGTATGTCTGTGTGTGTGTGTTTGTTAGTATGTCTGTGTGTGTTAGTATGCCTGTGTGTGTGTGTGTTAGTATGTGTGTGTGTGTGTGTGTGTTAGTATGTCTGTGTGTGTGTTTTAGTATGTGTGTGTTAGTATGTCTGTTAGTGTGTTAGTATGTGTTTGTGTGTTAGTATGTGTGTGTGTTAGTATGTCTGTGTCAGTATGTCTGTTTGTGTATGTATGTCAGTATGTCTGTGTGTGTCTATGACAGACATACTGACATACACACACACAGACATACACACACATACTGACATACACACACAGACATACTAACACACACAGACATACTGACATACACACACAGACATACTAACACACCACAGACATACTGACACACACAGACATACTGACATACACACAGACATACTAACACACCACACAGACATACTAACACACACAGACGTACTGTGTGTATGTCTGTGTGTTTGTATGTCAGTATGTCTGTGTGTGTATGTCTCACTGTGTTCCAGTGTGTGTATGTATGTCAGTATGTCTGTGTATGTAAATACGTCTGTCAGTGTATGTGTCTGTGTGTGTCTGTGTCAATATATCTGTCAGTGTATGTGTCTGTGAGTATGTATGTGTCTGTGTGTGTATCAGTATGTCTGAATGTGTGTCAATGTTTGCCAGTATATATTTTTGTGTCAGTGTATGTGTGTGTCAGTATGTATCTGCGAATGTTTTAATGTGTCTGTCTGTGTGTGTGTCAGTATGTCTGTCAGTGTGATTGCGGGTTGGGCGTAATGGGGAGGGAGGGTGCAGTGACAGGGCCCAGGGGGCCCAAGAAAAGGCTTTGCCCAGGGTCCTATTCATATTATAGACTGCCCTGACCCCTTCAGCCACTTACCTTTCTCCAGCGCCGGGCTCCCACTGTGCTGGGGAACTCTCCACCCTCTGCCGACATCAAATCCGAATGCGCATTCAAACCGCCCATAGTAAAGCATTACTCAATGCTTTCCTATGGACGTCCAGTGTCTTCTCACTGTGACTGTCAGTGAAACAGCCACTAGAGGCTGGAATAACCCTCAGTAAAACATAGCAGTTTCTGTAACTGCCATGTTTGCAGCTGCAAGGTTAACCCTAGGGTCCTGGCACCCAGACCACTTTATTGACCATATAGTGGTCCTTTAAGATAAGACCAGGGAATAATTAAAAGTATTTAGAAAATTGGGCAGACTAGATGGGCCAAATGGTTCTTATCTGCCATCACATTCTATGTTTCTATGATTACATGTCAGTTAGCTGTATGTCTCTGACACAGAAGGAGTAAAATGCTAGTTAAAGGACCACTATAGGCACCCAGACCACTTCAGCTTAATGAAGAGGTCTGGGTGCCTGGTCCAGCTAGGATTAACCCTTTTTTTTTTATAAACATAGCAGTTTCAGAGAAACTGCTATGTTTACACTGAGGGCTAATCCAGCCTCTAGTGGCTTTCTCATTGACAGCCGCTAGAGGCACTTGCGTGCTTCTCACTGTGAAAATCACAGTGAGAAGACGCTAGCGTCCATAGGAAAGCATTGTAAATGCTTTCCTATGAGACTGGCTGAATGTGCGCGCGGCTCCTGTCGCGCATGCGCATTCAGCCCGTGACGTCGCTAGGAAGGAGAGGAGGAGGAAAGCTCCCCGCCCGGCGCTGGAGAAAGGTAAGATTTTAACCCCTTCCTCTCCCCAGAGCCCGACGGGAGGGGGTCCCTGAGGGTGGGGGCACCTTTAATTAATCTGTCTAGATGGGGGCTGAGGGGGGTTACCAGTCACTGTGGCAAATTATAACTCATAAGACTAGCACAGCACTCTGTAACAATGATCCCCTTTGTTTATCTCCACCTCTCACCACTGTTTGGGTTTTACATCACGGGGAATGGACCATTTTAACAAAATATCACTTCCTTTTCAGCCATTGCTATTTTGTCCTATTCACATTTAAACACAAAACCCATGCTATAGGACTGCATTAATTATTGGCCAGGAATTTACAGATAAAATGCACTGGATTAAAGGATCGCCGGTATTTTCCCTATACATGCATTTCTAAACATCCGACTAAAGACATGACGACATGTGTTGATTTTCCAGCCAGTGGGGTGTGTATTAGCATATTTTACCTTTTCGCAGTGCCATTGCTGAGGTCAGGGGTCAATCAGTGAGCCTGGAATTGACAGACAAAAGTCCAGGAAGTCTGCAACAGTGTGTACTGATAGGGATGTCAAGGAAGGCAGGAAATTGTCATATATGGTCAATTTCACCCACCACGTCACTTCATGGAAGGAGGTTGGTGAGACAGGGGGAAGTTAACCTTTGCTCTGTTACACAAACGGTGAGCTGGTAAAGGAAGAGTATGAACTGTAACACACTGTAATCCCAACACTTAGAATGCCAGAGTGATTAGCAAAGCACAGAAGTTTAGTTTATATATAAACTGTTTAAATGAATGTGTGGTTTTGTTAATCGCTATTAACTATTACATAGCCAGTGAAAAATGGTTCAAGATGCATTTTAGACCACACACCTCACTCATACCTTTAATCCAGAATCAGTTTTTAATCCTGTTTCCAATATTTCAGTTTGATTGATTTTTTTTATTTTATTTTTTGCTTGTTTTTCTTTTCCTTCCTGGTCTTCATTATTGCAAGATTTTCTATTTTTTTATTTTATTTTTTTATTTTCTAAAAAGTCTCTTACTTCTTATTAGAGAGAAGAAAATGACAAATATCACTTGATCTATTCTTCATGCTAATGCAAACATTGTATGATATATCTAATATAAATAAATAAAAAGTGCTCTCAACACCAAATGTGTGTAAACATAGCTTAAGTGATAGGTTTTGCTTATACAATTCAAGAAGTGATCCCTTTAGCCAGACCAGCACAATATGGCAAGTGCACTCAAAAAAAATAAATCAATGCTGGCATCCCAATCTGTCCCTGTAGTCATTTATCTTTATTTTTTTTAATTACTTATTTGTGGGGGTTTTTTTGTTTGGGGGTGGGAGAGGGAGATAATTGATGGACAAAGCTATATCAGTGGGACATTCCACTCAGTGGGACATTCCACATAGCAGAACATGACTGATGTCAAAAGGACTTTGCAATTGCTAGCATTTTTGTCAGACTGAAAGGGGAACTAAAGAAGATTGTCAGAACTGTTGCCAGGCATGGGTGGTGGATGTTTTTCTTTATTTCTTTCAAAACACTGTCAGTAATAGAGTGAGTTGGTGTGTCAACATAAGAAAAAAAAAAATTGTAATAATTTGGTCTGCATAACATAATTTTTATTACAGTGTACACAATATATACAAAAATGTTGTTTTTGTTCACTCACATTACTTTTTACCTAATATTAGATTTTAATTTAAAGGAACACTCCAGGCACCAACACAACTTTATCTAAATTAAGTTGATATGGTGCCAGGAGGCCCCCTGGCAAGTTCTTACCTCCAGGTGTTAAACAGTTTTCAAACAGTTGAATCCAGAAGTGGCCTCCAGCGCCAATCTAATCTTCCTGGCGCTGGAGGCAACATGATACAGCCAGTGACTCCCCATTCACAAAACTATCGTGGAAAAGGTAGGTTTCTATCCAATCCAGTTTTGTGAATGGGGAATCACTGATTGGCTGAGAGAGTCATCTGACCACTCTCAGCCGTTAAGTGGCGGCACTCTGCACTTCCTGAATGTGAGATTTTAGAAGTCAAATGCCATGGTCAAGAACTTAACTTAACCTGTTCCTTTAAGACAAAACATTTTTCCTTTTTTTATTGCACTAATTTTCTATCTTCCACCAAGTCTGAGGTAGACTTTTTTTAATGTCTTTTTAATTTTGTATTTAGATTATTCATATGCTAGATATTTTTCTTTGGTTTTATTTTGATTCTTTTTCAGTACATATAGCCATACAGTACATATTGGTAATTCTGTTTAGGTTAAGCACCATGACAGCATCTTGAATTGGTTATGGTGCTAGGTGTCTAGGTTAACAGTTATAAAAAAAAAAAAAGGTTAGATTTATACATTATATATTTAATAACTATATATAATATACAAATAGAGATAATTTTTTTTAACTGCTCCTCCTTATGGTTATTATTTGTCACTTAATCTGTGAACCAAATGGTGAGAAAATGCACCTATTAGGGAACTGCAACATATCTACTTAAAATGTATTTAATGCATATATTTTGCAGTACACTGATAGACGCGTTTTCATGCCTTTTTGCTGTCCTAATCTTTTTCCCAAATATTTTCGCATGCATGATAGTCAGCAGAATAGAATTGTCAGTTAAATGAGTTTTGGAGATCTCAAACAAAATTGCATTTAAAAAAAAAAAAATTGGTTTAGCCAAACTTAATTTTTTTCAGTGTGCACATATCTATTCCACAGTCACATGCCAGAGCATACCAGTCTTGGACATTACTCATTGGCTGAAATCATCAACTAATGCATCTTAGCCAATGAATAATGTTCAAAGTTGTTATGGTAAAGGGACACTATAGGCACCCAGACCATAGTCTTCCAGACAGCCATTGGAGGCGCTTCTTGCATCCTAATTGAACTTTGGTCCGGTAATTGACGCTGGACATCCTCACACTCTGCATGAAGACATCCAGCGCCAGATTTTTCCGCATAGGAAAGCATTGATTTAATGGTTTCCTATGGGAATGTCTAATGCGCACGCAGCATTTGCCGCGCATGCAGTTTAGTGCCTGCTCGTTGCGGGTCGGAGGAGGCGGGGCCATGACCCAGCACTGAGGGACATTGGCACTGGGATAAGGTAAGTAAATAAAGGGCTTTGAACCCATTATTTACTGGGTAGGGGAGTGCGCGAGAGAGGGTGAAGGCAGAGCCGCTATAGTGCCAAAAATACAGCTTTGTATTCCTGGCACTTATAGTATCCCTTTTATACAAACGTACATACTTTTACTTTAGCACGGGGAACAGAAGCCACATAAGTGACAGAACCAGATAAGTGTAAAACAAATTGTAAATAGACCTATACTCTGGTAGCACCAGATAGCACCTCGTACCATAACTCCTGCAGCTCACTAGAGATTATGGGAATATGAAAAAAAAAGCAGAAATATGTTTATTTTTGGAAATATCTTATACTTTGACATTTAGAATTTTAAATTAAACTATAGAACATGAGCCATAATCTAGGTTATATTTTCACACATAAATGTGGCAGAGTAATTTGCACCACATTGAGGAGAAAACGAAATGATCTAGTATTAGGGAATTTTATTTTTACATATTAGTACCCAAAACTCATTGGACTAAGGACTAT